GAAATACGGCATTATAGACTCCGATATCTACAACTTTGACGAGACTGGGTTTATGATGGGCCAGATTGCATCCGGGATGGTCGTCACGAGTGCCGAAAGGTGTTCAAATACAAAAATGATGCAGCCTGGCAATCGTGAATGGGTTACAGTCATTCAGGCCATCAGTTCGTCAGGCTACAGCGTTCCGCCGTACATCATCGTTGCAGGCTAATATCACCTCTCCACCTGGTATATAGAAACAGATCTCCCACGCGACTGGGTCATCGCAACGTCTGAAAACGGATGGACAACAAATGAAAGAGGCCTAGACTGGCTCCAGCACTTTGATCGGCATACAAAACCGCGTACAACTAGCAGTTATCGCCTCCTCGTCGTCGATGGGCACGAAAGTCACCACTCTGCGGACTTTGAGATATATTGCAAGGAAAACAATATCGTCATACTCTGCATGCCGGCCCATTCGTCTCATCTACTTCAGCCCTTAGACGTTGGGTGTTTTGGGCCACTGAAGACGGCTTATGGTCGACAAATTGAGGATAAGATGCGCCGGGGTAATACCTATATTACGAAGGAGGACTTCTTCCCTGCATTTCACAACGCTTTCACGCAAGCCCTAACGGTAAAAAACATCCAGGGAGGCTTCAGAGGGGCCGGGCTTGTTCCTTTGAGTGCCGAAAGTGTACTTTCGAAGCTTGATGTCAAGTTACACACTCCAACACCCCCAGGGTCCCTACCAACAACACCCCCCGCGTGGACTTCTCAGACGCCAAATAACCCAACAGAGGCCTCTTCTCAGTCCGAACTCATCAAAAGGAGGATCTCCCGCCATCAAAATAGCTCCCCAACTTCAATTATTGAAGCTGTAGAGCATTTATCAAAGGGAGCGCGGGGATTTATGCACCAGATTGCCTTATTAAGGTCGGAGGTCCAGATCCTCCGGAAAATAACCTACTTAGCCGACGTAGGAGGGCTAAGAAAACACGTCTCAGACAAGGAGGAAGTCTTACTGTAGCTGAGGCAGAGGACATTCAGTCACAGAGAGAGGCTACGGCCCAGATTGAGGAGGAAACGCGCCAGAGTAGTGGTCGTCGGCCGAGGACAGAAACAGGTCGACGGCGATGTGGCGTCTGCGGAAACACTGGCCACAATGCGCGAACATGTCAGTTTAATGAAGAAATATCTGAGGAATAGGATTCAGAGTAGTTTCAATTGACTTTATGTTTTTAGTGTTGCTCCTTAGACAGATTTATAATGTGATCATGGTTAGGTGGGCAGCTCGCTTGTCTGGGCAGCTCGCTTATCAAGTACGTTAGCTATAGTTAAGTAACGTATCTTAATAAGCGAATCTCTCGTGGTATGTTGTAAAGTCTCTATGATGGGACCCTGTTGCGTATAGCCTTCTTAGTAAGTGCTGAGGGAGGCGGAGTTCGGGCGGCTTAGGGTGAAGAATTATCTCGAGGTCGGCGTATTGCCGAGGGCATTGGGACAGCCATTTTCTGGCAAAGGCTTGGAAGGCAGCTGCTTTAGCTTGCCTTTCTAGGTGCGCTAATAAGGGTTATGGTTATGATTTTAGGATTAGTTTACAGGCTTCCTTGGCTAGAGTATCTGCTTCTTTATTTCCTAGTACTCCCGTGTGCCTAGGGCACCACCAAACATAAACCCTACCGGGGGTTATCTAGCTCTCTCTTTATCTCCGAGTCTAGGAAGAAGAGAGCCTATTAAAGGCCCTAAATCTAGCCTAGCTGCTTCCTATACTCTAGGAGTATAATCTAGCCGCGACTACGAGGTTATCGAGGCAGATATAGACGTTATCTACTATACGAGCCGTAGGAGCCCGGATAGCTTCTATCAGGCCGTAATACGTAATATATACCTCCGTATTATACACCTTAGTTTAAGAGCCGAGTAGTTCGGATCCGCAGAAGATCTACCGTATAGCTTAGTACCCTACCCAGCCTACTCCGGCGGAGGTACTACTGCCGTCCGATATCTAGGACCCGTTAATATAAATAACAATATCCCGCTTAGAGAAAGTTGCCATTCTGCCTACAAAGGAGAGGGCCTGTTCATCTTTGGTCTTATTAGGTTCGTAGCCGACCCTAGCGAGGGCTATCTGCCAGTCCGCTAGTTGCTCCTAAGGGGGGAGTTCTAACGGATCGATGTATTTGGTATTTTTACTTACGAGGCTTGCTATTCGTCGTAGCCGTGAGTCTGGTCCTGATTTTTCCCTGAGTCTCGTTCGGAGAGGGTGTCGCTAGTCCAGACGATGGATTCTAGTGGACGCTATGTGGAGCTTTGCGTCCAGTATCACCTCTGCTGGGGGTAGAGCCGCCTCGCGCTATAGGATCGGTATAGGCGTCGTTCTGTATACGGGGACCATCGCTCTGATGGCTTTGGTTTACATCGCGTCTAGTTAGTATAGCAGATTACCAACCCCGTTTGAGATAGTACGTCCATTCTTTATCCGGCTCTTGTCAGGCCACTATGCTTCAGATACATAGTACTAAGTAGGTAGTACACAAGAGGTAATCGCTCGACGTAATAAGTACGCAGGCACGCCCCAGAAAGTATTCCCTAGTCCCCATAGTCCATTAACTACTTAGCATACCTTTACAGAGGATTTCCCTCTATCCTGTGGGCTACCACAAGGCTGTCAAGTTGGGATGTTGACACAGGGTGGAAGCTCTTAGAGGCCAACTGCAGTTAGGGGTAGAATGATGAATTACTGAAGTCTGCTCCTCCCTCGACGTGTACTCCCTGCGCTGTATATATATCTGAGCTGTTCCTTTGTTGCTTGGACTCCTTACTACCTCTTACTAGCCCCTATCCGGGAGGGCTCTGACAAAGGCTCCCCACTATCTCCTATTATCTTTCTATTATATATAGCTGATATCCTAGCCGACGATCAGAAGCTACGGTTCGGCTATGCGGATGATATAGGTTTAGTAGCTACTAGCCCATCGCTAAAAGAAAATGCTATAGCTCTAGGCCAAGAGATCACTCATATACTTAACTGGGGCACTGATAACAAGGTTGCTTTTGACCCAGCTAAGTGTGAGGCAGTCCACTTCAGCAGGAAACATAAACAGACAAAAGACCTACCAGATATACAAGCGAGGGGCCTAACTATCAAGGCCTCAGCTAGGCCTGTACGATGGCTAGGTGTTGGATCTCTGAGCAGTCGGCAGGAAAGGTGGATCTGGAAGGCGGTATGGGCACTTACAAACGACCCCTTACATACCACTTCTGAGAGGCCGTGGGCTCTGCCCACAACCTCCTCCTTCCACCTCAAGACGCAGCAATAATAGACCATTATTGACACTTCGTTCCAACCGTACGGTTGCCCTGCTGACGTGTATACCAACACTAGGAGTCTGGTTTGACAAGAGACTCACCTTCCGTCACCATGTCGAAACTAAGGTGGCGGCAGCAAAGAAGGTAGCCCAGTTCCTTCGGCACCTAACAAATACTAAAGGGGGGCTCCCAGCAGCCGCAGTACGAAAAGCGGTTATTTCCTGTGTCCTTCCAACAGCCCTATATGGAGTTGAGACCTGGTATGCGGGCCTAACCAAACCAGCCCTAAACAGCGGCACCAATACTAGCAGTAGTACTGCTTTACAGATAGCTACAGTTGGTACAGGACAGAAGGGCCTGGCCCGTAGAGTTAGCAAAGTTATTACAGCAGCAGCAAGGGCTATCCTGCCTGTCTGGAGAACCACACCGACCAGCATCCTCATCCGAGACGCTGGCCTTCCTACAGCAGAGGTAGCCCTCGAAGCAGCGCGACTACGCTTCGCTATACGCCTGCAGAAGGCTGACCAACAGCATCCCTTGGTCCCAAGGCTGCTACAGCCAGGGCGGCAACAGACCAGGCTCCAAAGAACAGCTGGCCTGTTACCTAAGTGTCCAAGGCCAGCACTCCTACAGCCGCAATACCTCCCAGGGTCTTATGACCTTATAGTTACACAGACGAAGGATGTAGCAGCTAGGATCTTCAAGGCCTGGCTCAAGACTGTGCCAGGTCAGCATACAGTCGTATACTCAGACGGCTCCAAAGCTCCTGGGCACCAAGGTATTAAAGGAAACGAAGAAGCAGACAGCCTAGCTAAGGAGGGAACAACTCTACCAGTCCTTAGGGGCCAACTAGCTACTCTATCAGGTATCAAGTGGCTTGCTAAAGAGCGGCCAAGACGCCAATATAGACGATGGTGGAAACAAGAGGCAACTCCCCGCTATACCCAACTAGGGCTCAAGGCTACCCTTGCTTACCCTCCTGAACTTGGCCTCCCTAGGGCTGCCCTTCATCACCTCCTCGCGGCACGGTCAGGCCACGGGGACTTTAAACAATATCACCAACGCTTTAACCACACAGAAGCACTACTCACCTGCTCCTGTGGATGGGTTAAGGAGGCAGACCATCTAGTCTACTGCCGAAAGACCCTACTGAGGAGGCAACAGTGGCCCACCCTCTACCCCTACAGCCGCCAGGAGCCCGTAGGACCTATAGGGTCCCTCGATCGCTACTTCAAGGGGCTAATCACTGACTCTGAAGGCTTCCAGGCCTTCCTCTGCGTGACAGACTTCTTCCAGAAGATCTGCCCGCGGTACTAGGAGATAGGTCATAACCTATCCTCCAAACGACAAACTACCTCTATTAAGAAACCAGATGGTTATAACGGAACTAGGGCACCAGTGGGAACTAGGGATGGATAGAACACATAGTAGCTCACGAGCAAGATTTGGAGGACGTCAGGATACGGCGTGTACTATATAGTATATAGCTAGAGCCTGCGACCCTCCACGCCACATACCCTCCGGGAGGTCTGCCGCAAGGGCGGCTGCGCCCTTGCCGCCATGGCGTTAAATATAAAACAAACAACAAAACACTGGCATGAGTATATATACGATGACCGTTTCCAAGATGCCTGTGACGCCGTGTGGGATGAAAGACAGCATCACTTCCCTGGACCCACTCAGATAAATCTGGGAATAACGTCAAGATGCGCTTCTTCTCAATCCTCACAGCCGTCGCGTCGGCTGCTGTCGTAGCCGGCAACCCCGTAGCCCGCCAGACTTCTAATTTTGCTGGCTACTTGATCTCGACCTTCAGCGACGCCAATCCGAAAGTCCAGTTTCACTTGTCGAATGGCAACAGCGCGTCTAGCTTCAAATTCCTCAACAAGGGCCAGGCAGTCCTCACGTCGACCGTCGGTACCAAGGCTGTCCGCGATGTCTACCTGACGACCAATCCCTCGCGGTCAGAGTGGTACATCATTGCCATCGGCGAGTTGTCTTCAATCCAGATAAGAAAGTCATCAAGCTAAGTTTTACCAGATCTTGACATCAATGCTTCTGGCTTCAACTGGGACAAGGCCACGAGAGCTGGCAGCAGGGGCATCGTTGTCTGGAAGTCAACCAACCTCGTCGACTGGTCTGCTCCCACCCTGAGAATCGTGGAAGCCGACACCGCCGGCATGGTCTGGGCTCCCTCGGCCGTTTGGGACGATGCAAAGGCCCATTGGTACGTCTTCTGGTCCGCCCGGCACTACCGGTCCACGGACACGGCGCACACCGGCACCGCAACGCTCGACCGCATCCGATACACCACGACCAAGGACTTTGTCACCTTCAGCCCGGCCCGGGACTACGTCGCTCTCGCGGATACTCCCCTTATCGACCAGGAGTTTCAGTACCTCGGCACAGCTGGCGCCTACGCCCGCTTCCTCAAGAACGAGACCACCAACCAAGTCTACCAAGAGGTCACTTCCAACGGCATCTTTGGAACATGGAAGCGTATCCCGGGCTACGTCAGGAACGAGAGCCCTCGCGAGGGACCTGCCTCATATGCCGACAACACGCCTGGATTGTACCACCTCCTGTTAGATGACTACACTCAGTATGTGCCGTTCCAGACCAGCAATATCCAGTCACCTAGCTGGCAGGCTGGTAGCACGTCTGGATTCCCCTCTGGATTGAAGCACGGTTCTGTTACGCCCATTACTCAGGCTGAATGGAATCCACTGAACTCGAAGTTCCCTGCTTGAGATGTAAGCTATTATTGGACTATTCACGCATGGAGTATGCATTTTCACTGTACATAATATCCAAGTGCACATTACGACCTGAATGAAAGCGAGTCTCTGGTAATAATGGCTGGTCCTATGTCCGTCTCAATGCCCTACACTGGATCACTAGTGTCCTGATGATCCCATACCTACTTGAGGCTGCATCCAGGTCGATTACATTGTTGGGGTAATTAATGTAATCAGTCAGCTCCCATTGGGGTTCCGGAATCGGCATAGACCATGCCACGATTGACCAACACTCGCTTGTGAGAAAGTCGAGACGCGTCGGCTCATGTGGCGTCCCTTGGGCAACCGAGCTACTGTACCCAGCGCTGCCGCCAAAGCAAACAAACAAATCAACGCCAAGATTTGACTGATTTGACTGCCTTTTCCCCAAGATTGGTTAATTTGCCCTATTGGCCAATATATCAAACAAATCCATAGAACACGTGACCCGACGACGCCCATACTAATTACCCAATTAGGAAATAAGTGAAGCTATTCACAACTATTCATGATGCAATATGTTAGCCAATCTCAACCCCCATGGGCATGGCTTTCCTTTTCAGCCAATTCTTCGTCAACTGCAGCTGACCCATAGTCTGAGGCTTCATTGAGTGCCTTTGCGACGTCAGGGTCAGCTTCGCAGTACTGAATGCTCTCTCACAGTCAGCAGCCATGGCTGGTATTGCCAACACATCAAGAGCTAGTCTACTGAGTAGAGGATACGTTGACTGGTGGTCTCTCCACCACTTAACAGGATCTTCCGTAGATTTAGGAGGCTGCCTGAGGTACGTCTCCAGATCATCCTGCTGTCGAGAAGGCTCACGACTACGTCTAGTCTGTACCCATTGCCTGAAGTGGCTGTCTTCATGGGATGGAAGTGTGATCTCAAGAACAGCCGTAGAGTCATCAGACTCTTCCTCGGACCTATACCAATGGTCAAAGTAGTCCCTGAGCCCCTTCTTTGCATCACGAACCCACTCAAGCTGAACCCCTTCATCCCAGACTGCCTCAAGGTATGAGATACCAAGTGAAGGGGGGAGAATAACAGAAGCAGCAAACAAGGGAGACTCCTCTACCTTCGTATAGTATGAGGAGAGCTTCTGCCAGGCCAACTCAACAGAAGTACGAAGATGCTCCTGGTACGAGGAAGAGAAACCCATGAATCGAGCAGTACGTTGACTACAGTCCTCTCTTACATGTTGTGGAAGTATGGATTCCTGAAGAGGCTGGGTCTGGCTGTTGACTGAAGATCGAATGGGGCGCCCTGATCGAGTCTGTGATGGTAGGGACTCTTCATCAGCAGTCACATTGATCGTAGACGACTCGTCTTCCTGTTGAGAATCAATGGGATGGAGTACGGAGTTGTATAGACTCTTCCACTCCTCTAGATGCTCAAGGAGGTACTCCATGCCAGTCATGACTTCCCAGAGACGACCATGCCCATCCCCCTTACCCCATCCCTCCGTCCTCTTCGTCTGCAGGTAGACAGGCTCAAGGATAGACTTGACTTCAACCAAGACTTTCCAATCTTCTGAAGAAAGGAGGTCATCGTCAGGTATCCTTTTACTGGCATTGTCCTGCTCCTGGACCCAGTTGATGTAGGTCTCGATCTCTGCCCTCTTCTGAAGAGCTCGATGGATCATGAGGTAGGTGGAATTCCATCTCGTCTCGTTGTTGAGAAGAAGATATGACTCCTGAGACCCCTGGCTGAATAGCTCGAAGTCTGACCCAGCATCAACCTCTTGGGCTGCTTTCCTGAATCGCTCAGATCGCTGAGGAGAAGCCCTGATGAACTTCACGATGTTACGAAGCTTACCAACAGGCCCCGTCTTCCTCCAGAGCTTCAGATCTTCCTCCTCATAATAGACAGACTGGTAGAAGAGTGACTCAGCCTCAAAGACTTTACGATCAGCACCAAAAAGAAGGGCTCGTGCCACCAGGTTGAGTATGTGGCCGTAGCATCGCATTCTCCTTGCCTGATAGTCCCCCTGATCCATCATAGGGTCGAGTCTCCTGAAGAGGGCAGAGATGCAGGTATCGTTGTTGCTGGCGTTATCACAGACCACCACACCCACTTTGCCAGTGATATCCCATTGCTGAAGAGTCTCGTAGATATTGTTGGATATGTTGGGACCGCTGTGATCGCCGCTCATGTGGTTGAAGGCGATGAGACGAGACTGGTGCTGGCCCATACTGTTGATGAAGTGGGCAGTGACTGCAAGGTAGGCGTAGTTGTTGGGTGACGTCCACAGATCAAACCCAATATGGATCTTAGTGAGGGCACTGTGGAGTTCATCCTTGACGTAGGATTGCCCCCTAGCGAAGAGAATGGGAAGATGGTCCATCATTGAAGTCCTACCCCATGGCACCTGATCAGCCAGAGAGGAGTTGTGGAGTCGTAGAACTTGTTGAACGAAGCTATCTTGAAAGTGGTCGAATGGTAGATCGTTGGTGATGATGGTGGAGAGACAGAGATCTATGACAGTAGCCACTTTCGACTTGGGTATATGGGAGATCTTCCTCCTCTTCGATGAACGAGTACCATGCTCTGAGCTGTGGAGAGTCTCTCCTGAGCTTGTCTCATCGGTAGCAGAACCCCATTGTGAGACTTGATGGCATCTGTATATAGATCAGTTAACAATAATCATACCAAAGGACATATACGTACCTGCGAAGATGGTCTGCAGCAGAGCTAGAAGCAGTAGCAGCAAAGAACTCTGGCTTTCCTTTACTGTCACATTGTTGACAGCACCAGTAAGCACCAGCTGGCCCCTCATCACAAAGCTCAACAAGGAAGACCCCATGGTCCTTAAGCCAACTCTTCCTCCCCCTGCCTCCTTTACGGGCCAGCTGCTCCTCAACCACATATCTCTTGTTCTGCCATATGATCGTAGGGAGGTCGAAGATGGATGGATTCGAGGGAAGAACAACAGAGACACTGTTGGCCACTTGAGTTGCAATTCTGGAGGGGGATCGAAGTAGTTGAAGTGCGTTGGTAGGCAAAGGAGTGGGGGACAACATCTGTGAATAGCATCGTTAGTTGTGAAACCAAGACATCATCATGCCTGGGGAAGAAGAGCTTCCTGCATGGATGGGGAAGCCCTTATATAGGGCCAGGGAGAGAGGAGGGGGGGAGTGGCTGACGTACGGTTGAAGTCATCATGGCAAAGGTAGGCAAGCCCAGGATGTTGGCGATGTTGCTGATGTTGGCTGCTTGTGAGGCATGAGGAAGAAGAAGAGACGTAGTAAGAGAGCGGTTCCAGTGCTTTTATACCCATATCCAACGTCGCTGGGAGTCATAGATCACTCAGGAGTATTGTCTGAAGAGAAAATACAGCCAGGAGGGCAGAAAAGAATGTCGCAAAGCTGTCAGGATTAATGGTGCTGCATACAGAAAAAGAAAGTTGACCGTGTTAGGGCGTGAATATTCGCGATAATGGCATTCCATTGGCTATATGCAAGCTTATGTAATATGCCAAGCCAAATCAACCCAATATATCAAATCCCGGTGGTCAGAAGTTGTTTGATTGATAGTTGGGAATAGCCTCAGTTGTTTGGTTTGTTTGGAAGTTTGATTGATAGATTGGCTTTAGCGGCAGCGCTGACTGTACCACATCCTTTGAGGTCCTCGTCTCCCTTGAAGGCCAGCAACGTCTTCGCCTGACGTTGCTGAAGACGTTGCTGAAGACGCCCGTTGAGTAAGGCAGATCGTCTTGCTAGTGCTGTCGCAGCTCAGTAATCTTCACCGAATATCGAGTTGTCACGATGGTGCCCCGGCAATGTCCACCGGCAATTGCACGCTGTGATATTAGCAACGTGAGCGCCTGCCGTAGCCCTTGAGTGTTTGCCTCAGAAGTCGCCACGGAAGGCATGAAAAGAGGGCCAAACTCTTTGAGAATCATGATTTAATACGGTCCTCTGGGAACATTGAATGTTTACCACGGTGGAAGACTTGCACGTCAAATCATCCATGTGGCTTGCAGGCCTCTCGCCTCGGACTTTGCCATCTCGAAGTTCTTTTCCTTGCAGCGGATATGCCGTACAGGACAGATGGACTAATTAGTAGTCATGCAGTGAATCGTACCCGGCTTACCGGAAATGCAGATCCTCTAAGTGCTAAGGACACCAATCGACTCCCGCTAGCTCTCGCCGAAGAGCTCGGGGAAGTGCGCCGGTGGCTTGGTGCCACCTCGTTTCCAGCTCCAACGAAGAGCCCGACATGAAATGTCACAGTTTAGCCAGGGCTTTTAATGGGAGCAGAAGTGTGGCGTTGGACGTCCACGGCTATTTCTGATAGGTTCACTGGATGCGCCAGGCAAATCCATGGTATCAATGGCGGGCTGTCTGCCCACGCAGATTGGTCCGGTGTTGTGGGTTGAAGGAGCTGGCTCTGGGTTTCGGGCTTTAACAATCCCAGCCGTCTGCGTTGTGGCGGCTGAAGAACATCGTGGCGCGGCCGCATGCGGTGATGAATCTCGAGATGTTGTCTCCTCGGTAGTTCAGTTTCGCCGGACACGGAAAGCGTTCATTGTTAGTGTCTACCTTTCGGTGTTCCAAGAATCTCTTCACATTCCATTGTCCTTAACGTGCCCGGTCCCAGACTATGTGCCAATGTTATTTTGCTTCCTTGTCTTCGATTCCTACATCGACTTGACGACCTGGGCTCGATCTTCTTTATTTTTCAATGCTGACTTAGCAAGTCTCGGTCGAGAAAGTCTACCGAAGTCGATATAATTTTGGAAGACCACGCCAGTTCCCGGGTGCCGCCCGTCGCATACGCTCTCTCGACAGGGACGGGAGGGTTGACAAGAAGCCGCGATGCACAATGAAAGCTTCACGCGAGGGGATTCTATCCCGCCGTACACGGACGCCACCAGAGCCCCGTTGCTCATTGGCATGACCGCAGGGTTTCTTGGAATTGCGTTAATTTTCGTCGCCCTACGTGTTTACGTGCGGGCTGTGGTGTTGAAGAAATGGGGGGTTGACGACACTCTCATCGTCATCTCATATGTAAGCGTCTGCACCCTGTCACCTTCGTAACAATGAGAAAAACAAAAGCTGATTGAACCCTACTAGATTTTGACAGTGCTCACTGGTACCATCCTTTCCATTTGTAAGCTCGCGCAACCAACGCAACATGATCGGAAAGACACTAACTTACACTTTACAAGGCACCACCTTTGGACTTGGATTGCATATCTGGACAATTCCCGATGAAGTACAACAGACTGGCCGCAGGGTAAAATTTCCCTGTATGATGACGATAGAATTGAGGATGCTAACATCCCCCACAGGCGACGATTGCTGCGACTTTGTCATACCACATTACCTTCATTTTTGTGAAGATAGCTTTACTGCTTCTTTACCGTCGGGTGTTTGCGCAACACAAGTTCTGCCTAGTTTGCGATGTAATGCTAGGCTTCATTGTCGCATTCGGCATTGCCGTGGTAGTATCATCCGTCGTCATCAGTGCCCCAGGTTGGAGAGGGGACACCTTTGCGTTCGAGCGGTATAACCAGGGGACATGGTGGATGGCAACAGCTGCGGTTCATCTGGTGACCGACATGATCATTTTCTTCATGCCGATCCCTCTCTTGAGCAGCTTGAATTTGAAAAGAGCTCAAAAGGCAGCGCTGATAGTCACCTTTGGCGTTGGATTCATGTGAGTTTGCGATCTATCTTCGAGTATTGAAGTATTGCGCTGACGGTATTGTTTAGCACGACAGCCATTTCTGTTGTCAGGATGTCCACCCTCGCGCACGTTTTTACAGCTGACGTGACGTGGGATGTAATCCCGTCATTGATCTGGACCGAAGTCGAGCTGTGCTGTGCCGTGATATGCGCCTGCATACCAACACTTCGCCCTCTCCTTCACCCCCCGAGATCTGCGTGCTCGCAGTATTACAATCGACAACGATCTGAAGCGAGCACCGAGGCAAAGCTATCTCGGAAGCGGATGAATGGGGGAACATTCGGGAGCCACAGTCAGCAAAGCATCCAAAACACAGCGACGATGGATTTCGATATGGATATGGAGATGGACTTGGAGGCGAACATGGAGCCGGAAATGCCACCAGATGCGCCTTACAACCAGAAGGGGAGTTTTCAAGGGTTGACTATTGTGACAGACATCACTCCAGCGATGCCCGCTGGAGAGTCCGACGATGGATCTGACGTGTTCGGGCCGCTGGATGAGGAGATCGCAACACCGTTGAGCCCACCTCCCAGATCGTACACGAGCCCTGCAAGGCTTCTTCCTCGATCTCGGCGGTTGTCAGAGTCAAGTAACGAAGAGTGAGGAGGGTGCGAGGGCGAATTTGACAATAGGGTCCAAGTTGATGCCAAGAGGAGGAGGATGATGGAGGGAAGTAGGTGCGTATGTGTTTAGCAAGGCGTTGAGGATCATTATACCACGGGAGCACGATTCCAAGACAGCAGAACAGAGCCACAGTAATATACCTTGACAGTATGAAATGCTGAAGGAGCAATGCAGCAATGCGTGAATAGCATCAGAAGGAGAGACTGGTGTTCTTGAAGGGAGGAGGCGGGCAGGGTTCCACGTTGTTTCCGGAAGGAGAAGCCCAAGTCCGAGGTGGATCCAGTAGACCAAGTGGACCCTGAAGAAAGCTACCGAGTCAGGAACATGTGGCCTCGGCGCACCTGCGTCTTTCGGGGTCTCGGTTCCGGGCGGGCCGCTAGACCTGATGAGTAACCCTGCACGTGCTACGCTAAGCTTGTCAAAGAAGGCGGTCGACTCTCCGAGGCACCGGTATTCTTAGATAAGCCGGCAAAATGGCAAGTGTCACCCACTCGCACGTCCCCGCCATCGCCGTCTCCGACAGGACACCGAAGTCGACAACTTTCCGTCGCATTCCACTCCTCCCGCCTGCACGCCTTCCCTCCTGCCACCTTGGCTCCTCACAAAACTCTCGATCTTCCTAGAATACCACAATCGCCGATCCAAGCAGTCTCGAACCTATCCACAATGTCAAACGGGAACGGCGAGCACGCTGCCGCGGCTGCCAACGGTTACCCCGCCAAACCCCACTCATCCAAGCCGTCCCCGCGGAGTTTCCAGGAAGTGTGCCACGAGCTGAAGGACAAGGTCGATGCCTTCTTAGCGGATGATCAGAAGACAGATATCTTGCGGAATGTTCAGAAACAGCTGCGTGCGTCAATGGGCGTCGTAGACGAGGCGTTGGCAAGATACAGGTGCGCGACATGCCATGTCAGCTCTTATCTCATGTCCGCATGGATCCGCTAATGCGCCGAGGCAGTCTGGAACAGATTTCAATTTCCTACAACGGAGGCAAAGACTGTATGTTCTCACATTTTATATCCTGAAAATTTCCCCTGCGATTTTGCGAAATATCCAGGCTGAGCCATGGCATCGCCTCCAACGTCGCATACGGCCATCTCTCTTGGCCTAGCGTGTGATGCTGACAGACCACTTTGACAGGCCTCGTACTCCTGATCATACTCCTCGCCGCCCTCGCACGTCGATACCCCTCTCCTTCGAAAGCCTCCCACACGAACGGTTCGAATGGCACGACCTCCTTCCCCCCTGAGTTCCAGGCAGTGTACATCGTATCGAAGCATCCATTCGCCGAAGTTGACGATTTTGTTGAAACCACCAGCGCCGAATACCACTTAGACGTAAAACGATATGCCATGTCAATGAAAGATGGACTCGAGGCATACCTAGCAGACAGACCAAACGTAAAAGCCATTTTCGTGGGGACGAGAAGGACAGATCCCCACGGCGAGAAGTTGACAGATTTTGACCCCACGGACTCCGGGTGGCCTGCGTTTATGCGGGTGCACCCTGTAATTGATTGGCACTATGGTAAGTTTAATATCGCCGTCATGAAAACGCGATGTTCCTTGCTAATTCGTCTGTGTAGCCGAAATTTGGGCAGTAAGTCATGACACAGTCACCAAGTCGTGGTGCGACGACCGCGCTATGGGGAGGTTATACCGGCATAAGGATGTGAGCTGACCATACGCTAGTTCATCCGACATTTGGAAATATCATACTGTCCTCTATATGATCAGGTAAGATGGTTGATCTGGGGAAGTTGCGACCAGACGACTGATGTCTTCTAGGGCTACACGAGTTTAGGCGGAACACAAGATACCCATCCCAACCCCCAGTTGAAGACCGAAGGACAGAACGGTGCGGGTTTCCGACCTGCATACGAGCTGACGGAAGACGACGAAGAGAGATTAGGTCGTGATAGATGAAGTAGTGCCGTACGACTCATTGACGTTGACTTGCGGAGCCTGCGAGAGTTTGGATTAAACTCGAGAGTAGCAAGATTTATCATGGAGGAGCCATCTTTATAGAGAGCGCATAGACTTGCCGCATCACAACCAATCTTCACTGATTCATTTTCAGCCAGCCGCGCCGCTTACACGAAACATGCGAGGCACGTCTTGTTATCTGGAACTTGGTTCATTGACTTTCGGGGACAGTTTGTATGACCATCAATACCGGCAACCCCACGATTGCTCCATGAGACAGCATGTTTCGATGTGAGCAATGACGAGGATAATTCTACGCATGTGCCCTGTCTTTTTCTCTGCCTCAACTTAACGCCATGGCTGCACCGGCTGCGCCGGTATCAACAAGCCGCTAAAACGCGCACGTTAGTGGCAGTGTACGTCAAAGGACATGCGACGCACGAAGAGATTCAGAACTATCAACACACCTAGAATTCAACTGTCTTAAATTATCTGATTACTGCCATATTCAAGTTGGTCCCGATTTCCGCAATACGATCAATCATCGGCTGTCCGTCACCGACCCCCGCAATGTCATCGAGCCCCGCGCGGCAATGTGGACCTTATCGGCATGTTATTGGCGCCTTATCATCGGAAACCTGGCCCTTGCGATCAAGATGTCGGGTAACTGGCCTAAATCGCATCAACATGGCCACTCTTTGTTATAAGACGTCTCCGAGCCAAGGCGATGCGCCTTCAAGAGCGGGCACTAGTGTCAACTTACACGACTTTCAAGCACGCTTTGACCGGGCTTGTAGTGTATACTCCGCAGTTAGTCTCATGAGCCGCACTTGACCTTCATCATGATGTACTCTGCGTCTAGCTTTCCGACGGTACTGTCAACTATCCTTCTGCTCATCGGTCAACATGTTTCCGCAGGGCCAACTGTGAAGGTGTTGAACGGCACCTATGAGGGCCTACCTCTTCCCAACTACCAGCAAGATGTTTTTCTTGGAGTGCCATACGCTCAGCCTCCCACTGGCAACCTCCGCTTCAAGGCACCACAAAGCCTCAACTCAACGTGGAATGGCACTCACTCTGCAACGGAGTACGGAGACATATGCATGCAATACACTGTAAGCACAGGCATGACAGCTTCTCGGCTTGAGCAACCAGTACTAATTAGACCTCTAGGCTCCTCTTAGCCACCCAATGTCTGAAAATTGCCTCTCACTCAACGTCATCCGTTCGAGCAGCCTGAACAGCACTGGACTTCTTCCTGTCGCTGTGTGGATTCATGGGTGAGTCTTGAAGCTCTTGTCTCGTTCTTGGCTCAACAATCGTGAACTAAAAGAGCTTCAACCGTAGCGGCGGCTTATACGCAGGTTCGTCCAGAGACAACAACCTTACCAACTTTGTGCACCAGGCTTCCGCAGCACAGAAACCACTCATCGCCGTCTCCATCAACTATCGAATTTCGGCCTTTGGTTTCCTCTGGGGGTCTGACGAGGTGAAAGCCAATGGAAGCGCCAACAACGGCCTACGAGACCAGCGCCTGGCCCTCCATTGGATTCAAGAAAACATTGCCTCCTTCGGCGGTGACCCGAATCGAGTCACAATCTTTGGCCAGAGCGCCGGAGGCTTGTCCGTTGGCAAGCAACTCATTGCCTACGGAGGCAGAGACGATGGCCTTTTCCACGGTGCGATCATGCAGAGCGGTGGAATGGCCGAGAAGTGGCCCTACAACGTGAAAGACCCAGCTGCCTACACCGAAGACCTCTATCGGAACCTGACGGAGACAACTTCTTGTTCGGACGCGGTCAGTCCGCTGGAGTGCCTTCGCACCCTGCCTGTGGAGGCCATCTCCGCTGCCCTGAACGTGAGCATAACGCCGGTGTTCTCAGGTACGGGCCTCGGTCCCTGGCTCACTCAGGTCGATGGCGATTTCCTCCAAGACGGTCCCACCGCGTCCCTCGAGAAAGGTCACTTCGTTCGTGTGCCAATCATGTACTCCACCACCAGCGACGAGGCAACCGTCTTCATGTTTGGCGGAAAGCTGGACACGGACGAAGACTTTAGGGCTCTAGTCGCAGCAGGAGGCCCAGATAATTCCACCGTCTCCGTCATTGAGCGACTTTATCCCAACACCAATGGCACAGGGCTTCCGGTTGGGTACAACCCGACTGCCGAGGACGACCAGCTTGACGGATCCCAGTGGAAGCGCGGAGTCGAGTTCCATACCGATGTGGTCGAAACAACTTCCAGACGAATGACATTGAAGGCATGGGCTGCTGCTGGCATGGAAGCTTATTCAGCTCGTGTCAATCTGTTGCCTCCTAGCACAACCTCTCGCCTGGGCTCGCACCATTCGATGGACGTCTCGTTCATATTTGACGCTCTTGACGAAGAAACGATGAGCGAGCCGCAGTTTGCGACGGCGTCGAAGCTCATGGGTAGGGCGTGGGCGTCTTTTGTGTCGGATCTCAACCCGAACAATCATGGAGGTATGCTAGTGTACTTTTCTATATCCAAACTTTGAGGCCCTGCTAACGCCATTCATTTAGTCCCCGATACCCCTATATGGCCGGCATGGACTGCTGAGAAGTCAAACAGAACCGGCTCTAACTTCGTTTTCAACGCTGACAGCGATCCGTTTTCCAAGTCATTTGTCGAAGGGGACGATTATCGCCTACGTCAAACAACGTACTTGGCAAGTGTAATGCAAAATCAGATGTACTATTAGAGAACCGCGCGGCGGTACATGTAATGATTGAGAATCATGATAGCTTCAAGTCTAATGGATTGTTGGTTTAATTTGGAGAGTCTGTGGTTTATTCAATCACAAGGTAATGTGATATTATCTAGTTCCCGAATCATACTCGAGAAGCACCTCCGCCTCCATCTGATCCACATCTACCACTACCTGGCGCCACATGCTCACTCATATGAATCCGCCATGAAGCCGGGGAGGACCATCGCGCACAGATATTTAGTTCCCCTCGTCGAAGTAAAGCCTGATTGGTTGACCAAGTCACCAGTGAGATCCCTCACATTCGGCCCGACAGCCGATTGAGGAGAAAGAATGACCACCATGTTCAGCCCTGGAAGGCCCATCGGGAAGGTTGAAGGCGGAGTCCAGCGCACAATAATACCAGGCCGGATGCGCTCTTTGAAAGGGGCGTCAACTGCCTTGGGGTCCGGGTCGACACTAGACGATAGCATCTCCTGGTTCATGGCTGTCTTCCGGCCCTTTCCTTCGGTAGGCTCTGCTTCGCTCTTCACTTCCGGCTTCTTTGTGGCGGCCTTTTACGAATCGATTTGTACGCGCCAGAACTTCACGTGAAAGGTGCGAGCTTGATCCTCGTCGACTCCTGGAGTCTTCAAGCAGCGGATGAGGAATTCGAGCGTAGGGAGGCGGAGTAGGAGCGGACCAGTCTCGGTGTGCGCGACAAGTTCTCCAGATATGGCAGGGCTTCCGGACTTCGACATATTAGCTAACTTTTTCGATCAACACTGAGGATAAATCCACGTTGGTGTTGATCCAACTCTTCAACTGTTCATTGTCCAAGTTGCAGGCGTCTCAGGGTCATAGGACTGAGCCTTGGCTTTGGGCAACAACACCCGCAACATCTCGGCATACTTTAGCGTGTTCTTGCCAGCGCCAGCATCCGGAAGACTGGGATTGACGCAAGCAAGCACGACAGTCTTACAGCTGCGTCTCCCCGCGGGGTCAAACACGTGCTTGAGAATCTTGGTGAGAGAACTCTGTCGGAACGGGATATATGTCGGGTTCTTGGTCTTGCCCGTTAGAGAAACCGCATCAACGGTCGCTCTGCCCCTAATGCAGTCCTTCAGCACCGAAAGACTCGTGTTGATCTCCCGGGCCTCTTTCATGCGGTCAGGCGTGTGGTTGGCTACGTCTCTGGCGGCCTCTGAGCCTGCGAGATCGATGAGGTAGAGGAGTCCGTCTTCGGCTGTTGGTATAGGACTCTCGATGCGGATGCGGCAGATGGCGTGGGAGCGAGAGGATGCATCATTCTTGAACGTCGATGCAGGGCGGCGGAAGGTTGCTGCCTTTTCTATGAGCTCGAGTAGAGTGGCTGCTTCGGTGATCTCGTGCTCCAGAGCGCCGGCAAGCTGTGTGACACCGAAGGAATCCTCCAAAACAGAAATTGGCTTGCGAGAGTTCAGGAGGTCTAGGACACCTTGTTAGAGCAAGCTGCGCCTTTAGGAGTTAGGGGAAGTCCCATGCGACGTCCCGAAAGAAGAATTACCAGCCAACTCAATGATGCACGCATACACTTTTCGCTCTCCTTCCATACCTCCGCTCATGAGCGACTGGGCGACTAGCTTCTCAATCTCGCTGACTGTGAAGGTCTTGCCAGAGCCAGTCTGGCCATAGGCGAACACGGTACTAACGCCGCCGCTCCATGCCCAGGGAACCAACGGCTCAACCAGATCTCGGTAGATCTGTTCAGATGTGTCTTCTGGGCCGTATGCCTTGTCGAGCTGGACTGAAGTGGTCTGGAAAATGTGTCAGCATTGATCACGATGTCGAAACTGCGGCAAGCAGGTGGCTGCTTACCGTAAGCGTCGGAGGTCCCAGGGGCTTGATGTGCTTTCGGATCTGGTGGATGTCCACGGCGCCATTACCGCTAGGTCGAAGGAAAACTCCACGGATAAGACCCGCGGACACTTCATCCTCCAAAATTGGCCGAAGCCGAGCGGCAACAATCATGTCCGGGTTGGAGGTGGTGTTCGGATCCTGGGGACTGGCCGCATCTTTTTTGGCTGCTTTGGTGCTGAAGGTCTCAACGGAGGCCTGGTACCAGGGCGTATGTTTGATGTGGTATTCGTCCATGGCGACTGATTTGCGACGTCAACAATGTGCTGGAAAACAAAAATTTGTGCAAGTCTCTGGCTTTAAGAGGTTTTTTATATCGTAATTGGGACTTTCAGCGGGACTTATATCTCGTGAAACTTCTTTCTTCATCGTCAAAATGTTTCCATCTCGTCTTAGTTGGCAAGTGGGGCCTCGGCGCATTGGTCGTATTGTGCCGAATCTGGAAGGGACGCGAGAGACGCGGAGCAACTCCGGCCTCAGAAAATTGCTGCCTGGGTTCCGTCGCCGAAGCAACCAGGCAGACAATTTTGGTCAGTATTGCGGTGAACCCCAGAGATATTTACTCAAACTCCAGAACATATATCAAAGCTCTCAGGATTGTGATAAGGAAGGTATGCTGCATTGATAGATGCCTAATCAAGGCTTCCATATTCTGCATGCCCTTCGCCTACCTTTACCTTCTACATCCTCGCTCTAAACACACGTGCGGGTGCCTAAAACAACAAGACTGTTCATTGGCCAGAGCTGTACGAATATTTGAATGATTAGGGTATCCCATCGAGTGCTGACTGACGCGATTTTTGCCAAGGGCGGGGTAGAGCCAATTAGGGGTTGGAAATCTATAGAGTTAACCAATAGAGTTACAGTACCTCTATTGCCTACATATTCTGCGTATGCCAGAGGTACCAACAATTCCCCTGGGTACATAAAGGTACGTTACAGTCTAAGCAGCCCTTCCTCGTATATTTACGCCGCGTGAGGGTATTCCCAGATATCTCGCCTAGAGTCTGGCGGTTTCTTATTGCCCTCAGATTACTACAATAAGAGCAAGGCGAATTAACCTTCCGTGACCCTTTTGTATGCTGTTCCCATGGAATAGAGGTATTCCTCTTGTCTGTACGTCTAGATCGTGATAGTCTACGCCCGCCTGCTAATGGTCCAAACCGTTGAATAAGCTGGGCTGCTAGTAACTGCCGCCATTGATAGTTGGATTCCACCTTCTGCCACCTAGGGCTACCCCAGAGCTGTAATAAGAAGCTATTCACAACTACTACTTCCAGCAGGAAATTCCAGGCTAGGGACTGCCAGCCCCCTCGCCGACCGTCCCCGTCCCCGTCCCCGGCCCCGGCCCCCTCGTTGGCTGGGCTGGACGGGCTGGCTCGGCTGGCTCGGCTGGGCCTGGCTGGCCTGCGCCCGGCCCCGGCCCCGGCCCTGGCCCCCGCGCTGGACGGGCTGGACGGGCTCGTCGGGCTGGCTGGGCTGGAATTCCGCAGTATTGAATATCCGCAGTCGCCGGAACAGTAGTTGGAAACGGTCCCGGGATATAAACCGCGTAAATAGGTGGATGGGATCCTCCCTCTGCTGTTGGGTTGACCAGTAGGTTGATAATCTAGATTCCCTATGGATCCCTATATATAATAAGATCCCTAGGAAGAGGTAGATCTCTTCTATTAAGGTCTCCCGCCACTTATACACTCTAGACGTTCTAAGCCAGGGGCCCTCTTTAGACGACGGCGGTGCTGTATTCGTCCACTGGGCCCACTGCTCCACGAGGTCTTGCGGAACGTATTGGAGGAATAGTTCCAGCGTGCTTGCCGGCAGCCCCCGGACCTCTTGGGCCCGGGCTGGTACTTCAAAGGGCCGGAAGGAGCCCGGAGGGCCATGCTCGGTAGCCGGAGGTTCACAGGGCCGGACTGTGGCTTCGTCACAGCCGTCTGGCTTACAAGCTGTATTACAAGCAGCAGCTAGGTCTTCTGGGTAGACCTCAACTACTATCCCATCGAGTGCCAATTGGCAACAGGTACATGCCCTTGAGGGGAACTGACCACTCAGGAGACAGCCAAGACTTCTTCTAGCCAACCAAAAAGCCTAGATTATGGATACTTCTGTTGTCTATATACTCTGACTATGAAAGAGGTACCAGCAATCATCCGAGTTACAAAGCGCTACTCCACACTGCAGGCACCCTGACCTCGTCTTTTTTCTGTGGGATCGTGAGTGTTGTTGAACAGGGCCTCGTACTGCGGCTTCATTGGTCCACTGTACCCACGATTCAACCAGCCTCAAAGGCACATACTGCTGAAAAAGCTCTAAAGGGGTAGTAGATAGACCCCGTACTGTTGCGGCGCGGTAGGGCACGTCGAGGGGGTTGAATTGGCCCGGTGTGCCCCTTTCTAGCGGAGGCGATTCGTGTGGGCATACAGTTGCGTTATCACACCTCTCGGGCCTACATTGAGCTGTACAGGCGCTATCAAGGTCTTCGGGAAGTACTGCGACGGTGATATGTGAAAGCGCTGACGAATCAGACGCATCAGAGTCGCTTGAGGACATCGCGACAGTTGCCCATCTGTAGAAATGTTAGTTGTGGTGGTGAACGCAGCTGGGAAAATATAGGGGTTGATGACGTACCGTCATGTATTCCCGCGGTGAGGGGGCAAAAGTGGGTCAAAACTGGGCATAATGTACCTGTTGCCAATTGGCACTCGATGGGATAGTGCTGAGTACAGAAGTAACACATGTTTTAGAAGCAATAGAGGTATTGGAAGCAATAGAGGTATCAGAATCACTAGAAGACATTGCAGCATCAATTGAAATGCTAGTAATAGTAGTGATAACAGGTAAAAGAGCATAACGTACATGATAAGCGAGTGGGCCAGACAAGCGAGTGGGCCACCCAACCACGACCACATGACATGAAGAAGCAAATATCAACACCCACCTCATGGATTCAATCCAAACTATTCAGAGTCCTCTTCCTCAGACATTTCCTCATTGAATCGACATGTTCGCGCATTATGACTAGTGTTCCCGCAGACGCTATATCGTCGTTGGCCCGTCTCAGTCCTCGGTCGGCGACCACTACTCTAGCGCGTTTCCTCCTCTACCTGGGCTATAGCCTCTCTTTGCGACTGAAGGTCCTCTCCCTGAGCTATAGTGAGGCTTCCTCCTTGTCGGAGACGGTTTTTATTAGCTCTCCGGCGTCGACTAAGTAGGTTGTTCTCCTCTCGAAGGATCTAGTTCTCGGATCTTAATAAGGCGATCTGGTACATAAATCCACGAGCCCCCTTAGATAGATGCTCTACAGCTTCGATAATTGAAGTTGGTGAGCTGTTTTAATAACGGGAGATTCGATTCTTAATAAGTTCTGACTGAGAAGATGCTTCCGTTGGGTTGTTTAGTGTCTAAGAAGTCCATGCCGGTGGTGTTATCGTGAGGGATCCTGGAGGCGTCGGAGTGCGTAACTTCACATCAAGCTTTGAGAGCACACTCTCTGCACTCAAAGGCACAATTCCTGCCCCTCTAAATCCTCCCTGGATGTTTTTCTCCGTGATCGCTTACGTGAAAGCCCTATAAAACGCCGGGAAGAAGTCCTCTTTGGTAATATACATATTGCCCCGACGCATCTTGTCCTCGATTTCTCGACCGTATGCCGTTTTTAGAGGCCCAAAACATCCAATATCCAAGGGCTAGAGTAGATAAGACGAATAAGCCGGCATATACAGGGTAACGATGTTGTTCTTCTTATAAAAAATCTCGAAATCCGCGGAGTGGTGACTTTCGTGTCCGTCGACGACGAGGAGGCGGTATTGACCCTTTGCACGCGGTCTTGTATGCCGTTCGAAGTGCCGAGCCCAGTCTAGACCTCTTTCATTTGTTGTCTATCCATTTTCAGACGTTGCGATGACCCAGTCATGTGGGAGACCGGATTCCGTGTACTAGGTAGAGAGGTGATATTGGCCCGCAACGATGATATACGGCGGAACGCTATAGCCCGACGGGCTGATGGCCTGAATGACCGTAACCCATTCACGATTGCCAGGCTGCATCATTTTCGTATTAACAAATATAGTGATTAGGTAGATTGTGACATTTTCTATCAGCACACTTAGTGCTACGGTCACGTGATAAGCGTGGCCTCTGTACTTAAGACGGTCTGACCGTGACCCTCCACATAAGGGGGTTAACCTTAAAGATATTGTCGGAACCGCAAGGCTGATAAGGAGCAATGGGCAGGTATCGTGGGCTGGCTGGCGCCTGCCCTGGGCGAAGTGGGACAACCGGCTTAGTCACCACGGCCGGTTAAGGTGGGGCAACCACCCAGGCCGTCACCACCTACTTCGACCGACCCCTGCCCACAATGTAAATAACAAGAACAACAACAGCAATTATCACGGACATCGACGTGATTGTTGCCGAAGATACACCCTCATGAGGAAATGTATCACGCCTGTGATACCAACAGATATACATCACCTATAACCTACCTTTAACGTTTACTTACTTTTTCGCTTTGCTCTTCTACGCGTACTTTAATCGATTTGCTCTTTCGCTTTGCTCTTCTACGCGTGCTTCAATCGCTTTGCTCATTTCGCACTCTCCTACTCGTACCTACACGGTCAGGCCACAGTCTTACCCCTTCTGCCAGTATCCATGATCTAGCAGAGAGACTGTGTCATAGATAAAAGATATGTTTAGGATTAGGATTTGTATATAGGATAGATTCGAGCCGGACTCTAGGACAGACTTCCTATAGCTTTGTTACGACCCAACATGCACGACCAAGTCCAGGGCCTGCCCCGCAGGACCACGGCGACTACGGCACACCATAAGTGCACGAACTATGGGAACACATACGTCACCCTACGGAACGGAAGAACTATGGAGCAAGTCACGTGATGATAAGATAAGGAAAGCCGTATGCCAAGAATACGGAGTCCGTCCCTTTGAGGTACGGACCCCGTACGTTCAGAATACGGAATCCGTACGGTAAACATACGGATAAAGGATATGTTCAGAATCAAGACTTGTATATAGGATGGACTCGAGCCGGACTCTAGGACAGACTTTCCATAGCTCTTCAGCAATTAACTTCGTATCAGGATTAACATCCGCTTTCAGCTATCACCTTGACAAGACTACGATTGATCACCGAAGCCTTACCTACCCTTACGATTGACAGACATAGCTTCCCTGAAGCTATCCCCGACTACGAATACTGTTACCAGTTCCGCAGCCTCAACTTCTGCAAACTACCCCTACGACTAGCTGGCCGTAACAAGCTTCTTTAGTAATTAACTTCGTATTAGATTTTATAATCGCTTTTAGTTATCTTTCCTAAGAACCTCCTTAATAAGACTACGATTAATCACCGAAGCCTACCCTACCTTACGACTTGTAGACATAGCTTATTGAAGCTATCCCCGATTACGAATACTGTTATCAGTTCCGCAGCCTCAACTTCTGCAAACATACCTCACTACGACTAACTGGCCGTAACATATGCATGTACGTTATATATCATATAATAACGAGATAATAAGAGCTTTACTTCCTTCTTTCCGAAGTTTAAAAAAGTGTTTATAATAGGTAGAGGAGGGTCTTAATAGGATAATATTATAATTAACTACCTAAAGGGCGCGCCGGAGCGCGCAAACGGCCGCACCTCCATGCTCGGTCTAGGCATGCAAATACATATAGGGTTTGAACGTTTGATTGTCAGACCACGACAGAAGCACGTTTCTTCGCTACTGGGGGAAAGCGAGTCAGCCATCGTGTCTGAGATCAGCAGCTCCTTAATAATGCTAGGCCTAGGCGTGACGCTCTCAAACCAGACCCTTTGTGGTCTGCTGGCGATGCAATTTCAAGACACTTTGAGAAGGTTTCTTGGTCGAGCCGTTTACGAATATTCCCGTTCGTTTTTGTGGTGCTATGCTACTCACTAAGCAATGATACTCCCCCATCGGGCCATTTTCCATGTTCCGTCTCTTGACAAGCTGTCAAGTCCCGATGCTACCGTTTCATCCGACTAAACATCGGCTCTGTTCATGAAACATCTTTTCTCTTTCGGAAACGGAGTTTGCAGTTAAACCCCTTGGGCAAAGCATCCTGTGTTCCCCATTGCTCCATGATACGACTTGGGTCGTCCAACGCGGTCTCGAACGTGAGAAGAACAGCAGATACTAACATCTTCACCTGGAGTGTCGCAAATGCTTTACCCAGGCACAGACGGGCACCATACCCAAATGGGATGAAAGACCGCTCTAGTCTTAACAAGCCTTCAGGCTCGACGTCTAACCACCGCCTTGGGTTGAATTCCAGAGGCTCGGGAAAGACTGACGGGTCCAGGTGCAACGCAATGGTCGAAGCGGATGCAACGGTCTAGTTTTTACATGGGTAAATGTTAGAACGGCGTGTAGAATACTGGCTTGGGTTCTACGGTAGCGGGAGCGCAACCGGCAACTTACGTATGGGGGGATGTAAACATCGCCGTATCTGGTGCCCTTGGCCAATATGCGCTCGGCTCGCCCACTAGAAACTGGGTTGATCCGATATGACTCTCTTATGCAGGCTTCTAGAATAGGGGCTTTGTCGAGCAACTGCCAGACCGGGAGACCATCATCTTCCCGCGGTAGCGCCTCGATCTCAGCTCGAACCTTGGCCTGCCAGTCAGGGTTCCGGCTTAGGTGGTAGACCACATACGTCAAAGCAACAGTAACGGTGGCCTGGGCCGCGTGGAGGTTATCAATCACCTCGCATGCCACGTAATCATCGGAGATATCACGACCGGCAAGTCGGAGATCTTGGATGAGGCGGATAAGCGACCAATCAGATGATGACTTGGGATCAGACAGTGAGTAAGCCAGACGCTGCATGGCCCAAACATCCAAGTCACGCTCTGCCGAGAGGAACTTGGATGACCCAGTGTATACGGAAACAGCCTTTTCCAAAATGTCGTGAGCGAATGGAAGGTTGAATTTCAGAGAGTTCCACATTTCGGTGTTCTTGAGTCTGGCAAGAATGTCGCGATCTGTGTAGTCGCCCTGAACAGCATGAGAGCAGTGCCTTGGCCCGTAAACTAACGCTGTGATGTTGTCCCATGCATAATGGTTGATGACGGGGAAAACATCAATAATTGGCTCCATCTTGGAATGTCTCTCAAGTGTCTCTCGAACTCCAAGAGCCTTTTGCCGGAGAGGCTGCTGTATCTCAGGCTTGTAGATGGAGGTTGCCTGATAGAATGCTGAAGACAATCCTCTCTTCGCCTTGTGCTCTTCGTACGGCTTCTCTGCAAATATTGACCGCTCTCCGTGGTAAATGAAACGGTCAAAATAGTCGCTCTTGGGGTTCCTCTTAGAACTGCTGTAGAGGTCGCGCATAGCCGTAACATCGGAGATTGATACTTCTCCGGGTGCAATAAGCACAAAGGGGCCGTATTTCCGATGCCATCTTGCGATGGCCTGCGGCCGTTGACGAACCAATTCGAACATTGCAACATAGTGGTGGGAGATTCGGCATGGCCAGGGGCCAGAAATGTGCCGGTATTTTGCCACTCGCCATAGTACGAAAGCGAGACCGGAAATAGTCAAGACTAAGGCAATCAGGCCGATGTAGCGGTAAAATATCTGAAAAGTGATAAGATTGGCCATGGTGCTCGTATCAAAGAGGTTAGGACGGTAGGAGTTGTTGTCTCTGTAGGATGCTCATTCATAGATTTTCGTTTGAACAGGAACGTGGCTGACGAATACTTGTAGGCGCGATCTATTCCTCTTCAAGATGATTTGACTTGCCATGACAATCCTCTTCGTCGACTACAGCCTCCAAGATGATGTGTACTACAGATGGTGTGACAGTACAGGCATGATGTATGGGCCCCAAATGTCCGCTGACTTTGCATTGCGAGCGGAGACTCGCATAAGCGACTCCTGATGTTGGTGGTAAATCGTCAAACAAAAGAGCCTGTGGCTGTGACAGTTGTAGTCGTAAAGGCTACGTCGGAAGGTTTCCGCGTCACCATAACGTGAAAGGAACGCAATCGGGGTGAACGCATCATTTTGTTACAAAGACTGTGTATAATGTAGTACTATTTTGTAATACTCAACGCAAGGCCAAAGTGTATCGGCTACCTATTCTATGGTTATTTACACAAACTTTCCAAAGACTACCATAGTTGGGAAAGATTAGCCGTGGCAGAACCTTTACTGCCAATACAACATGTGAATAGATGCAAAGGAAAGTCTTACTTTGTGAGAGATCTTATTTCTATAGAGTCACAATATTTTAGACTCGTGAGCCACACCGATCTTGCTGCCTCAGATCGACTGTGGAGCATTGATAGCATGGCAATTTTACACGTAGTTGATCGTTTCTGGAAAGTGGGCACGGCGACGGAAGTCTATTTCGTGTGCAATATTATGTTATATGGACATGATCTACCTTGCGCTACCCGTTTGCTCCACATATGACCTTGCTGCTGTCTCGTATGTGACAAATTCAACCTGAGGCCCCCAGCTTTGCAACCAGAGCAGCACATCCTCGATAGCCCCTGCTATGTGTGCCATGCCCGAGGTGTCGGGATGGAGAACCAAAGGGAAGACGAAGTCACCGGGGCCATTACCGTCGGCACCGTGACTCCACAGCCAGGTAAAGCGGTCTTTCCACATCTTCTCGATCGTCTGAACCGACACAAAGCCGTGGGAGTTTTCGACGTTGGGCCAGAACTGAAGAGGGGTCATGTCTTCCATGTACCAGTTTGCAGGGATTTCAACAATGCCGGTAGATTCCGGCTGGATAGAGGGCTGCATCCATGTATGTGCCGGCTTAGAATAGTCGACCGGAGCGAGAGAAAAGCCGCGGTCAAGAGGGTACAGCTGTGAGTCGTGGCCGCTGAGCGAGGTGTCATAAAGAAACCCCCTTTTCTCCAAGAGAGAAATCGTCTCATGGCGGATTCGGTACAAAGGAGCTCGGAATCCAACAGGGCGCTTCCCAGTCAGAGACTCGGCAAGGGCAATACACTTGTCCAAGACGTCTTCCTCCTGCTTTGTGTCGAGCTTGGTGCAGTCTTCGTGGCAGTAGCCATGAAGTGCAATCTCCGCGCCCGAGTCCACGATGGATTTGGTCTCCGCCGGGAATGTTTCCATAGAGTGACCTGGTATGAACCATGTTACCTTGTCGGAGACACCGATGCGGTTGAAGAGACCCAGAAGTCGGCCTACGCCGACGCGGCCTGCGAAGATGCCCGACGAGAAGTCAGCGAGGCAATTATTGGGATGCTGCCCTGTGCCCATCCAGCCCGACACCGCATCAAAATCGACTGACACGAGTACTTGAACACGGCGACGGGCTTCAGGAATTGGTCGAGGGACCCTGGCGAGAATCGTAGTATTCTGCAGCTGCCCAACGAGATCCTGGAAGGCAACGGCTGTCTTCGGAACTTCGTCGACAGGCGTCACCTGGACGCGGACGCCCCCGATTTCAACGACTTGGTGGCATTTAGTTACAGGTATCGGGATCAATGCGGGTCGATCTGAGTTCCATACCGTGTTCCATTTTTCAGATTGCTCGATCGAGAAAGTGTTCGAAAATTTGGTGACAACGAATGGTCGATAGTGAGTAGGGTCTTTGTGACAGACAACTGGGCGATGGTCGATTGGGGTCGGAATTGGAGTTGCTGTCTGCACAATGGTATGTCCTCCTGTTCTCGAGAACTCTGACCCAGTTATAGTAATTCTTATTGATAAGATAATGCACGATAAGCACCGCGAATATGCAGTGTCGATGCTGTCTCTACATGGTCATTGGACACATTCTCTAGATCTGATTAGACTTAACTCAGGCTCTACCCAACTTGACTGGTGCCAGTGGAGCTCTGGGAGTCTCGCTGCTGCCAGCGGCACCCCTCACTCTGTCAGCATCATGACCGTGTTTCGTCCTGCACTGTCTCAAGAGTCTGAAATACGAACAGACTAGATGGAAAAAGATAGAGTTTATCCGGACTTTGCTCAGTGACTGTTGCTGGCTGTCTTGGTCATCATGACGTCGCTTATGCGCTTGTTACGACCCAGCATGGCTGACTATGACCTTGCATATGGGGAGGTCAGTGCGTGTTCTGCGGCAACATGATGTGCTACCATCGTGGAATCCGAACGTGGGGTTGAGCGTTTGCTCATATCATCAACCAACATCGCGCAGAAAATTGGCAATTGGAGGCATGAAGTTATTTCGCAACTGAGGTATACACAGTGTAACAAAAGAATTTTTGTCCGGCAACTAGACAATCTCGATGGCTTCAGCATTTTCAGTTGAGAACGCCCGGGCTCAGTTCCCAGCTCTGGCAAAAGACCAGATCTTTGGCGACAACGCTGGAGGAAGTCAAGTTCTTGGAACGGTCGCAAAGAGGTAAGAACTGGGAAATAACTTTTACTAGGAGTTGAAGTCCGATAGACATCACAAGAGCTTGCTCATTTGCTGACATGGATGGACAGCATCTCGGAATACCTCGTGAACAATAACGTGCAATTAGGGGCGAGCTACAGAACATCTAAAATCTCGACCCAAACATTCGACAAGGCGTACAAAGTTGCCGCCGACTACATTAATGCTGATGTCGGTGAAATTGGTAAGGATCAGCCATCACCCCACGCCAGCTCTAGAAGAGAAGACCGGCAGACTCAGTATTCAATGTTGGGTGTACTTACACCTCATAGTCATCGCACCTTCAACAACCCAGGCTTTTCGTAACCTTGCAGCAGCTCTCAAGTTGAAGGCTGGCGATGAAATCATTCTTTCCGAAGTTGACCACGAGTCCAACATTGACCCGTGGCTCCATTATGCAACTCTCGCCGGTGCGACAGTGAAGTGGTGGGCACCTTTTGACAAGTCGAACCCAAAGCTCGATGCCGTGACCCTTCGGAGCCTCTTAACACCGAAGACTCGGTTTGTAGCTTGTACACACGCTAGCAATATCTTGGGAAGCATTCACGATATCAAGGCCTTTGCAGATGTCGTCCACGAAGTCCCGGGGGCCCTTCTGTGTGTTGATGGTGTTGCATATGCGCCGCACCGGGCGATCGATGTAAAGGAGATCGGGGCTGATTTCTATGCCTTCTCTTGGTACAAGGTAATTAAGTGGCTCCCTGAGAAAGCAACTACGTTGCATAAACTGACCGTGTACAACTCAAAGGTGTACGGTCCGCATATCTCATTGCTGTACGGATCCTTCAAGGCACAAGAGCAGTTACAATCACTCGGACACTACTTCAATCCTTCTGGAACTTTGATGGACAAGCTTGAACTAGCCGCGGCTAGCTACGAGCTCACTCAAGCAATCATGCCCTTGGTCGAATATTTTGGGGAGAACCCGAAACAGACCTGGGCTGGAATTGCTCAGCACGAAGAAGCCTTGCAAAAGCATCTTCTCGACTTTCTGAAGTCACGCCCTGATGTCTGTATTCGTGGCGACGCTTCATCTGCAGCTTCAGTTCGAGTTTCCACTGTGAGTTTTACCGTAAAGGGAAGATCGTCTCAAAGCGTTGTGGAGGGAGCTGAGGCCCAATCCAATGCTGGGATTCGGTGGGGTCATTTCTTCTCAAAGCGGTTGGCCGAGAAGATTCTCGGTCTCGGCGAGGATGGCGTTGTCCGAGTGAGCTTAGTGCACTACAACACCGGTGAGTTACGCTTTCCAGCACCTTGGATGATTCAGAGAGCTGACGTGTCTTCTCGTATTTAGTGGAGGAGGTTGATGTGATCATCGGGGCATTGAAAAAGGGTTTAGGAACCTTGTGAGAAATAAGAGGCGACGATGTGGATAGATGGTATTGAATGCAAAAGCTTATTCGTTGTGCTTCACTGCTTGCAGAACTTCATGCGATTTGAGTTCTGTGATTTGATTGAATTTTCTAGCCTACGGTAAAAAAGTATCCCTATTGTGTGAACATAGCAATCCCTGTTTAGAGATAAGCATAATTACCTTAGATAAGGTAACCACATCTTGGCAGAGTCTTCCTTAGTTGGAACCTTGAGCATCCCATCCATGACATCCGTATCTTCAGATCTCCTTTAATGAATTCGATACTAACAGACAGGAGTCACGGGAAACTTGCATGTGGTTACGGGACTTGGGCAGTGTAGAGAGCCACTGTTCAGAGCAATCTTCAAGGGCATTTGGGTATCACTGAAAGCTTAACGCCGACATCCGCAAGAGTTCGATTGAGCGGAGAAAAGAGAAAAACAACAAGAGCAAGAAGAAGAACGAAAAATATGTGAGGCATGATTCTCCCTATCCTGTGCAATAGAAGCGCTTCCTGGTCAGTATTTCTGACTTGCATATCTACGTCTTGCGTTAATCCACGTTGAGGGCATCAGACTAAACATGGGATTCGCATTCTAGACCTGACAACAAACGGGTTCCAACTTCTTGGCCTGATTCGAGCCGGGCTACTGCTGACCGGTGGCGTGTCCACCATGTCAGTAGGAGTGCCGGGAACGATGTTCGTCTGGGGGGAGGGCCTGTTGGATTGGATCCCTTGAACGAGACTGGACCCTTGTTGTATTGAACACAGACCAAGCATCAAACCCACCGTGTCACTGCCACGTTGCCGCCTCAGATGACTGCCCACCTTATGCAGTGTCAGAGATGCATAGTCAAAACCCTTCTTTTCCTTTGGTAATCCTTCTCGGAAGCTCGGATCACAGACCCGTGTCTAGAACATATGGAGTTCCTCGCCAGATTAGTCTGGTTGATACATATACCTTCAAGTGCCAGTGGGACCAATTACAGGGTGTGAGCATCTCAACTGATCAATCTGATTAATAGTCTCAAACGCTATTAGTCAAATTGTTCTGTCATTTCTCGCCTTAGTTCCCGTTTCCATCTTCTTAAAATTACAATCAGCCAAGATGTTTGTGCTCCTCAATCACATCACATGCTCTTGACTATCGTGATACCTGGCTAACAACCACTGTGATAACAGGCTTCCTGACCCACACACCAAGTACACAGGATTCCAACAAATCCACAACCCAAACCGGAAATGGCCTAACCAGGTTTTGACGAAGCCTCCGGTTTGGCTTTCAACTGATTTGCGTGACGGAAACCAGTCTCTCATAAACCCTTTGGTCAGTGTTATACGCATATCTGAACTTCAACCCTACGGGAAGCTAACATTCGTCATAGACCATTGAGCAAAAATGGGAATACTTCCAGATGCTCGTGGAAATTGGTTATACGGAGATTGAAGTCTGCTTCCCCGCCGCATCCCAAGTCGAGTTCGATTTTACCAGACGTCTGATTGAGACGCCCAACATCGTTCCTGACACTGTGCGCTTGCGTGGTCTTTCTCCCACCCGTGAAGACTTTTTAGCTCGCACCGTCGCCGCCCTTCGTGGCGCCAAGAGGGCATCTGTTTGCACCTACATCTGCGTCAGTGACAAGCAGCTCAAATACCAAGGCTTCACACGAGAAAAGGCACTCGAGCAGGCTGTCAGATCTGTCCGGTATCTTCGATCTATCACCAAAGATGACCCGGAATCGGCGGCAGTGACCGACTGGACCATGGCCTTTGGCCTTGAGTCCTACAACGAGGCCGACCACGATTACGCTGTTCAGATCACTGAGGCTGTCAAGGAGGCCTGGGAGCCCACTGTCGAAGACCCTTTGGTTGTGGTATTGGCGACTAGTACCGAAGTTGCTACCCCCAACGTTTTTGCGGACCAAGTCGAGACCTTTCGAGCGGCTTTGTCTGACCCCGAAAAGATTTCCATTTCAATTCACACCCACAACGACCGTGGATGTGGTGTGGCTGCAGCTGAATTGGGTATGCTTGCAGGGGCTGACATGGTTGAGGGATGTCTGTTTGGTAACGGAGAACGCGCTGGCAATGTTGATCTCGTCACACTGGCCCTGAACTTGTACTCGCGCGGCATCCACCCTGGTCTCGACTTTTCAAAGCTGTACGACATCAAGAGAAAGTACGAAAAGCTCACTGGCTTGATCATCTCTCAGCGTATGCCCTACACTGGCGAGTTTGCGCTTCAAGCCTTTAGTGGCAGCCATCAGAACATCATTCGCAAGGGTATTGCGCAGAGAGTTGAGGCTGCCGAGAAGGGCATCCGGCCGATTTGGGATATCCCGTACCTCCCTCTGGATCCTGAGGACTTGGGAATTCCTCTAGACACAATCATTCGGGTAAACTCCCAGAGTGGCAAGGCTGCTGCGACCTGGATCCTCAACAGACGCTGGGGCCTTGACATCCCCGTCGAGCTTCAAGTCAATTTCGGAGGCCGGGTTCAGATGATGTGCGAGGCTCTTGCACGAGAGATCTCACACCAGGAGGTCATTAACCTCTTCATTGCTAGTTACGCACTTACGCCAAGTGAGAAGCACGACAGCACCTCCAACATTGGCAGCATCTCCGTCACCAGCGATGGAACACTGCAGACCGTTGTGGGAATGATCAACCCTGCCGACAGCTTCGCCATTCGCATCGACGGAACTGGGCCCGATATCGCCTCAGCCGTTGTCAGGGGCCTGCACTTCATGAAGGACGTCAACGCTGTTGCCAAAATTCATCACACTCAGCAGCTATCTGAGCGCTTCGATGGAAAGTTCTGCGTCCTCGCTACCTGTGTCGAAGGAGATAAGACAACATGGGGCTACTTCATTGATGAGAACGAGGAGAATGCCCAGGCAATGGCGGTTGTTTCGGCGTCATTAGTAAGCTCATCCCTTCTGAACCGCTGCTTTCTTGCAACTAACATCAATCAAAGCACATGTACCGTCGCAAGTTGTCAACCCTGCCGCTCAAGAAGCAAAACACCATGATCAAGATCGCCACCGCGAGTGTATCTCAGACTGCGGCGACAGCTTAAGCGTTGGAAGAGGTTGGAGAGATTCACTCTCGCGCATGGAGATACTGGGCAATGATATGCTGTGGCCTGTAAATAAAATTGCATTCGACAAAGTCACGAATAGAAATATGAGCTAGCGATCTTGGAAACTACTTGGAGCGCGTCTGATAAGCCTACCAAGAGCTTGATGAGATATGGAAAATAGAAAATGAATTGAATATTACTTGCATTTCTAAAAGCACCAATAGCCGTCATGTCCTGAAATACGTCAGAAAGATTTTAGCACATGCAACGTTTGGTGTTGGAACATGAAATCGTCGAGAGGTCTCCGTCACACGATTGAGGAACATGATACGAGGTCGAAATAAAAGAAAGCGTATATTGAGCCAGTCTGCCAAGTGGAGGAAAAGATTCTGAAAGTAAGTTTACACCAAATGATCAAGCCACCCGTAGAAAAAACAACCAAACCCGACACGCCACCTATGATACATGTTGCCACCCAGAACGAGTCAATTATCAATCCTTATCCTTCTCAATAATAGTTCCTGTGGTTGTCTCGGTGTTTTCTCTCTCTTCAGGCTCAGTCACACCAGTACCGGCTGATGTGACTGGAGAAGGTTCACACTTTTCTGTGTCTTTTGGCTTCTTTTCCAGAATTCTTGTCCACTTGACCACAAGTGACGCTACTGTCATGGCAATACCAGCAGCTAATGCCATATAGAATACTTGGACAATTGAAAGATTGTATAGCTCGAGAACCTTTGGCAATAATGAGGGATCGACGATGTGGCGAAGCTCAGTCGCGCCGCTTCGGATAATTTTGTCCACGTCGACTCCCTGGACTGGACGAAGGTTGCCTTGAAGTTTGTTGAGAAATACCGCTTGGGCAATAGCCAGACTGATTGCACTGCCCACCATGCTACTGAAGAGCATCATAGAGATAGCAGTTGGTGATAGCTTGGTCTCGACGGCGTTGTGAGCCACAACGATGGGCTGCTGCGACGCCAAAGCAGCGAAACCCGCCAAGGCTGAGAACCCCATGATACGGGAGTCAGTGCTGGCCATGGTGATGGTACTGAAAAGACCGGATACAATGGCCGTAAGAGTACCACCGAGGAGCATCACAGGGTTGGCGCGACCGATGGTGTTCGCCAGAAGGCCTCCTGCCATCACGCCGACAGCCGAACAAGCGTTGAGTGGTAAAAGTAAGATACCAGATCGTGCAGCTGAGTAGCCTTTGATGACTTGGTTCCAGAGAGGGATCTGTGACTTGTCAGAAATGTGCTCAGATCCTGTGTGAGGGAGACCGCATCTTGATCCATTGGGATTGCACTTACGTAGTAGTCGAACAAGGCCATGGCCATACCAGCCGTTACAGCAAAAGCTGCAGCAAAAGAGATGCTGCGGTTCTTGAATAGTGCCAGAGGGATGACAGCAGCCTCGCCTTTTCGGTGCTCCCAGAATACGAGCGCCACGAGGAGAGCGAATCCCACTGTCAACATGCTGATGGACTCTGCGCTGTTCCATGCGAACGTGTTGCCTCCGGACTGGACGACGAACAAAATGAGAGCGATTGCCGGTGTCAAAATGAGAATGCCGATACCATCAATCAACTTCAGCTCTTGAAAGATGGTCTTCCAAGGCTTCCGGTGCGTTCTGAGCAGGAAGAAAACGACTGCACCAGCCACTGTTCCCATGGGTACATTGATCAGGAAGCACCATCTCCATGACGCGTTATCTGTCAGGGCGCCACCGATGAGGGGACCCGTGATCTGGCCGACCAACTCCATGGCGCCCAAGACACCGATCATGAGCGGGAGGCGGCCGGGAGGCAGAATTTCTGTTACGAGTCTGGTATCAGGACAATCTAGTCAGCAAAAATAATTCCAAGGTAAGTGTTGGAGTGCAAATTGACATACACTAATGAAGTTGATACGACTCCAGAACAGCCTAAGCCAGAAAATGCTCTACCAACGATACACATTGTAGAAGTTGTCGCTAGCCCGGCAAGTAAACATCCGAGCTCAAACAAGAAGATTCCTGCAATGTAGACATGTTTGTGCGGGACCACTCGGTTAAGAGCGCCAAAGACTAGTTGAGATGCTGCTGCGGCCAAGAAGCTAAGTCGTCTTCGTCAGTTCGTCTTCGGGAATGAATTCAGGACATAAGGATGACGTTGGGCACATACTAGGCAGAACCAAGCCATCCAACATCACCGAGGCTTCCAAGATCGGTCGTGATTTCAGGAGTGGCTACACCGACGATTGTGCCGTCCTATGAATGCCAGCATCTGTCAGCAAGGTCTTACCCGCAAGGAGAGCATACAGGACAGTTTCCATCCATGTTCTAGGTTCGATTCGGAAAGCCAAATACATGTACTTACCATGCCAATCAGTCCGACGGTGAGGGATAAGGCAATGCACACTGCCAGTGCAGAGAGAGGTATTCCGAAACATGTTCGCTCTGGTGTCTTCAAAGAATCCGTATCTTTGGAACTCGTCATTGTGTCAGTTTTTGTGAATGAGTGTTTTGCTTTGTTGAAAGAGTGATATCAGTTTAGGCAGCAACTTGAAAGGGTTGAACTGGAGAAGGTTGATGGCAATGCGTTGAGACAGATGCAACGTGGACGTGGAAATTTGGCACCGGTTCCGTGGCAATGGGTGTCTTGTCTTAGAACTCCAGATATGGCAGTGGGACAGGGTCAAACTTAGAGCCAGCCAAGGATACATAAGGAAGCCCAAATGGCACCCTGACAAATGACATGTCGTGCTCGCTCCCGTGTTCTCGAAGCACCACCCGGATCCCGACCAAACCGCACGTGCGGATACGAGTGTACCATCTGTGGCAACATTTGCCCTGAATACCCGAGACTGTCGGCATGGCTCAAATCTCCGTGGTTGGTCTCGACTTCTCAAGGTCAAGTTGGAGTTATTCAGCCCAACTTCGGCTCTGCATTGCTACCGCGCGGGCCGCATATAGATTCAATGTAACTCCTCTCACGCTTCTCGTGCAGGATTCAGGAACCTTCGGTATTCCGATTGTTTGGTCTGGGTCAGCAACATCTGCAGTTTGCGTGATGACCCGGCTTACCCGTGGTGGTATTGCCTTTACGACATTGGCACTGAGTTTCTGGAAATGATTTCTTGCAGCAATCTAAATTCCCCGTCGGGCTCGTCCTGCGTTTGAGCCACGCCGCAGCCAGGGATATTGCTGACCCTGCAGCTTGGCCCCACGATCCGGATCCGTCTACGGGCCCACCTCGCTTCCAAAGTAGCCGGAATCCCAAAAAGTTCTCTGGCTGAGGTTCGTCTGATCATGGTAGTATGACCGGGGTTTCCTCCGCATAGGCTCACTCTCGCGTCGAAGCCGAAGAACATGGAACCTTGCATTCGTGTCAAACCAGGCCGACGGGCGATGTGATCCTGCTGTTCGGCGAAGAACGTAATGTCTCCTACTCGCTGTAATAGATCAACACACCACATATTGCACAGTCCAGGAGCCAAGGTGGAACTCACAGTTACCTGCCGGAAATTGAAACAAGGTCACGACTCACGATCCATACTGGCTTACTTAGCTTGGCTAGGAAACTGGAGTCACTGGATCCCCGAATGCGACTGCTCTCAATTCCTTCCAATCCCTCGTGTTTGTGCGCAATGATGACTGCACTGCTCGTCGAAAGGATCAGTCTGCCGTCTTAAGGTTTGGGCAGGGTCATTCATGCTGCCCTTTTTGGGTCTGAGCAAGACTCGCCGGGGCCAAGACTCCCTGGTGACATACTCTTCAATTTCCATCAATACTGAGCGTTGCTTTGGCAATGTCAGCTTTGTGAGATGACATGAGCAGACGGTACTGACTAGGGGATTGGAGGGGTCGAGAATCACTCGGATAACTATTGCGTGAGACCACTTCAATGCGAGCCTCAATCCGTAGAATAGTATTCCTCGATGACCGCCAGTTCTTTGATTCTACTTGTCTATTTGTCTTAATACGAATAATCTACGATCTTTTGGTAGACTGTATCATCAAGTTGAACTATACAAAATGAAGTCTACTTCGAAAACGCTGGTGGTCTCACCACAAGCCCTCAGAGGAGCCTGCTCTAGGCTCAATTTACAGCCCGACTCCTTTCTCAAAACCGCATGGGCAATCACAGGCCACGTCCACACAGACTCCGACGATGTGATTCTGGCGAGTCTGCGCCAGAGTAACAGCCATGGAGATGGCTACTATGTCACGATGCGCAATCTGCACACTGGGCCTGGTTCCGTTACTGTTGGCACCCTCTTACATCAAGTGAGCCAAGCTGCAGTAGCGGAAGACGCCGGTGACTCCCTGGAACTCAGCGATTGTCCTATCCGGTTCCTTGTTACAGAGGATGAGCTACCTTCCTCAATCGCTCACATTGCTGCCGAAGAGGTGAGTGAAATCGAGAGAAGCCAGGTGAAGACTGCATCATTGACCATCTTCCAGCTTTTTTACACACTGGTGCTCTCTGGGCAAGAACCGAATCAATGCCACATAAATGTCTCTGGTGCAGCACACGAGCAGAAGATGGAGGCTGTGGCAGCCACTTTCCGAATAATTTGCCATCAACTACTTAGCCCCAGCGTCAGGCTGGATTTAGGAATTGACCAGATTGACTTGTTGCCTTTCCATGAGGTAGCGCAGCTCTCCAGATGGAACAACAACACTCAATCAGACAGTCAAGAGTGTATTCACACTATCGTCACCGCTCACGCTTTCCATCGCCCCAGAGATCTGGCAATCTGTGCCTGGGACGGCAGCTTCACCTATGCCGAGTTGGATTACTACTCCGAGGTGGTGGCCCGCCACTTTGTCGCCAAGGGATGGTGCCAAGGCGGCTTTATCATCTCCAAGATGCTGAAATCGCGATGGAGCATGGTTGCTATGCTGGCTATTCTCAAAGCTGGCTGCGTCTTTGTCCCCGTGGATCCTCGAGCTCCCGCAGACCGTGTGGCTGCAATCGCCAGTGAAGTCTCTGCCAAGTGCCTCATCACCAACTTTGTCGACGAGGCCCTGCCAAACTTTGGAAATGATGTTGTGATCATGGAGAACCTTCCGCAAGTGGCCGAGACCAGCACAATCGACTCGGAGCCACTCCCTCAAGTGGCCGCCACCGCGCTCGCCACTGCATTTTTCACCTCAGGAAGTACAGGAGTTCCCAAGGGCGTTCTTCACGAGCATCAAGCCATTTGCAACGGCATCAGAGACGTTCTCCAACCCTTCCACATAGACCAACACACCCGATGCTTGCAGTTCGCTTCGCCCGCCTTTGACGTCACAATGTCGGAGACGTTGACAATTCTTTACGCTGGAGGCTGCATCTGTATTCCCAACAACCAGGAGGTTGTTGATGACATCAACGCAAGCATGGCGAAGCTTCAAGTTACGCATGCTTTTCTTACGCCGACTGTCGCCGCGCAGGCCGAGCCGACAGTTGCTTCCTCTCTCAAATATCTCATCGTTGGAGGTGAGCCTCTACGGAAGTCAGAGGTGGTCTCGCTGAGTCCGAAGTTGAATCTCATCAATACCTATGGCGGCACTGAGATGGGTATCTGGGAGACCTCTACACTCTCGTTAACACCCGAGAGTGACAACCGGAATGTAGGCCATACCGTTGGTGCCAAGATCTGGATTGTTCACCCTCACAATCACGACATCCTCCTTCCCATCGGTATGCCCGGCGAGGTTTTCGTCGAGAGCATTGCACTTGCCAGAGGCTACTACCGACCGGTCGATAGACGAGCATTTATCGACGAGCCCAAGTGGCGTGGAAGGTTCCCCAACCGCAATACAGCTCGGTTCTACCTCTCAGGAGATCTGGGACAGTACGAAGCCGACGGAACTCTGATTCTACTCGGCCGGAAAGACACCCAGGTGAAACTGAGAGGCCACCGCATCGAGCTGGGTGAAGTCGAGCACCACCTCGGCAAGAGTCTTCCTGGCCAAGAACCTGTTGTTGAAGTCGTCAAGGACTTGGCATCATCCAGGGGCTCGGCGACTCTGGTGGCGTTTGTTGTGTTCCCCGGATCTGATGCGGAACAGCCCAGCGAGCAGCAACTCGCTGTCGCGGCAGAAGTCAGGACGCGAGTCACAGCTGATCTCTCCCGTTTCTTGCCCGCCTACATGATTCCAGCCGTTTTCATACCCATCTCCTCGGTTCCACTTACAGTGTCTGGGAAAACCGATCGCCGTGTGCTCAGACTGGTAGCGCAACGACTTTCATCGAGCCAACTTACGATTCTTCGTGGTGCTCAGGGGTCTGTTGAGGCGCCGGAGACTGAGGCTGAGCTGCAGTTGCAATCAGTCTGGTCTTCGACCCTCGACGTCGATCCCATCATGATTGGAAAGAACACGTCCTTCTTCGAGCTCGGTGCAGATTCCATCGCTGCAATGAAGGCGGCCAGCGCGGCTAGAGCTATCGGTCTGTCTTTGGGCCTGTCAGAATTCTTCAGGTACCCGAAGCTTTCCGACCTAGCCAAGTTTGCATCAGAAGCATCAACTGGAGTAGCAGAGGATCAGGTGGCACCATTTTCGCTCGTTCCACTTGATGCTGCTATGGAACTACGCCGGGAAGCTGCTCAGCAATGCAACACCTCTCCCGCGGACCTCGAAGACCTCTACCCATGCACCCCTCTTCAGGAAGGTCTGATCTCACTTTCGTCTAAGCATGACACCTCGGAGGCGTACATCAGCAGGAAGGTCTTCAACTTGCCCAGTCACATCAACATGTTTCAGTTCGAGGAAGCATGGAATATCACGGCTCAAGCCCACCCCATTCTCCGAACCAGACTAGTCAACACCGCTGACCGGGGGATGCTCCAGGCCGTGGTCAAAGGTCCTTTGGCTTGGAGGTTTGAAAGCGATCTGAATGGATACTTGACTGGAGACGCGCAACAGCCGATGACTTTCGGTACGCCACTCTGCCGATATGCCTTGATCGACGTTGAGTCAGGAACACAGAGGACTCCCGTCTTCGTCTGGACCATTCATCATTGCATCTACGACGGATTGTCGATATCCATCATCCAGGACGCTTTCTGGAGGGCGTACAATGGCCAGAACGTCGCCCCTTCTCCTCCATTCGGCAACTTCATCAAGTTTGTCAATGATATCAATGTCAATGCTTCCCTGAGTTTCTGGAAGTCGTATCTAGATGGGCCAGACCTGTCCTTTTTCCCTTCGGTCCCATCTTCGATCTCCACACCTAAGCCTGACTCGACCGTGGTGCGTGAATTCCCTTGGACTTGGAAGCCGACGAATGGTCTCAGCACATCTACACTCTTGAAGACTGCGTGGGCTATAGTTTCGGGCAGATACTCTGGCTCTCGGGACGTCATCTTTGGAAACACTTTGAGTGGCAGGAATACTCCCGTGCCTATTCCTGGCCTTGATGTCATTACTGGCCCTACGATAGCAACTGTTCCGGTTCGTATTCGCTGGGAGCCTAAGATGACAATCGTGGAACTTCTCGAGGCGGTTCGGCGCCAAGAGTCCGATATGCGGCACTTTGAGCAAACGGGCCTGCAAAACATTTCGCGCATCAGCTCAGATGCTCGAGGAGCATGCCAATTCTCCTGTCTCTTCTTGGTACAGCCTCCTGCCACTATCTATCAGGCTCAGCTGAAGGAAGTCTTTGGTGTCGAGGACCATGACAAGTCTACAGAATACGATGATCATCCTCTGTCCATCGAGTGTGAGATGGATAAGCATCAACTACGCGTCATTGCCACCTTCGACAGCCGCGTTCTGCACGAGGAACGACTGGAGAGAATCGTCACCCTTTTCCAGCAGACGGTCTTGTATCTGAGCAGCAACTTTCAGTCCCAGATTTCCTCCTTGAACCTGGTCACCGATGCAGACATTTACCAGATCCAGGAGTGGAACGAGATACCGCCGACGGTTGTCCGAAGACAGGCACACGACCTCTTCCGCCACCAAGCCAGGCTGCGTTCAACTCACACTGCCCTCAGCTCTTGGGACGGTGTGATGACATACTTTCAGCTCGACGATGCCTCGGATCGCCTTGCAGGTCACCTCCATGCCCTCGGAGTTGGGCCGGATGTCTTGGTTCCCATCTGCTTCGAAAAGTCCCTCTGGGCGATAGTCGCGATGCTGGGTATCTTGAAGGCCGGTGGTGCTTTTGCTGTCGTTGAGCCTTCCCATCCTCTCGACAGAAAAGAAGTCATTGTTCGGCAGCTCGGCGCCAAGGTCGCTGTTGTAGCGCCTTCGACCGAGGGACTGTTCCCATCCGGGTGTGTAAATACCCTCGTCGTCTGTGACGCTTCTATCCTGAAGCTGCCACTTCCAAGAAGACCCTTGCCGAATGGCAGCACAGACAACGCCATGTATGTCATCTTCACATCTGGCTCTACGGGTACTCCGAAAGGATGTGTGACTGAGCATTGGGCCTTCTGCTCGGCCATGTACGAGTTTGGCCGTGATAGCGGCTTACGATCCGACGGTCAAGTCCTGCAATTCGCATCCTACAGCTTCGATACCAGCTCAGAAGAGATCTTCTGCACGCTCTTTGCGGGTGCTACCCTTCACATCCCTTCGGAAGCATCACGTATCAACGACCTGGCTGGTGAGATCCGTCGGACAAAGACCAACTGGGCCGAACTCAACCCCAAGGTTGCTTCGCTCCTCATTTCCGAAGAAGTTCCCTCTCTAAAGACCATCATTCTTGGAGGTGATCGATCCCACGGAAGCGATGTCAGCCGATGGCCCGAGAGCACCAATCTCCTCAACTCGTATGGTTGCACCGAGGCATCCGTTACATCTACCCTCATCCCTCTTGACAGACGGAGCAACGAGGAGCCTCCCATCGGCAAAGGTGTCGGCTGTAACCTCTGGATCGTTGATTCTGACAATCACGACATGCTCGTCCCCGTTGGTGCACCCGGTGAGCTTCTTATTGAGGGGCCGGGCCTTGCTCGTGGCTATCTCGGGGACCCCGAGCGCACCGCAAAGTCCTTCATCTTCGACCCAGCTTGGGCCAATGATGGATCCGGAAGGAAGCGTCGCTTCTACAAGACGGGTGATCTTGTGCACGCCAATGACGAGGGTGCTGTTTTCTACCATGGTCGTAAAGATACGCAGATCAAGCTTCGAGGTCAGCGCGTGGAGCTCGGCGAAATTGAGCATCAGCTAGCCCAGGCACTCCCAGAACTTGATGTGTCTGCCGAGATCGCGACGATGCAGGCCAACAGTCAAGCTCCGGATACCCTCGTTGGATTCATTGTTTTCCCCAACGATGAGGAGCAGTCTGCTGAAGTCGCTACATGCCTGGATGCTGCGACGGTCGAGAAGCTAGCCTCCATCAGGCCCAAGCTCATCGCGGATCTCTCGCGGTCTTTGCCGGCCTATATGGTCCCAACTCTGTTCGTTCCCATGAACAGAATGCCCTTGACAATCTCAGCCAAGGCAGATCGCCGAAAGCTTCGTGCACTCGCTCAAGGCTTGAGTCCCGAAGACCTCGCCCTGCTGCAGGGAACCTCAGATGTCAAGGAGCAGCCACAGTCCCAAGCTGAAGTCAATATGCAGGCTGTGTGGGCTGGAGTCCTCGGGGTCAAGACTGAGACCATCGGTCTCGACGATAATTTCTTCCGAATCGGCGGAGATTCGATTACTGCCATGAAGATGGTCCCTGTCGCACGACAACTCGGTCTTCATATTTCAGTTGCCGACGTTTTCCGCACTCCAATCCTGAGAGATCTCGCTTCTCAAGCTGCCGCAAGTGACCAACCGTCTCAGGTTGAACATATTCCTGCATTTTCTCTCATTGACCAAAGTGAGAAGGAATCAATCGTCGTCGAGGCAGCCAAGCAATGCGGTGTACGACCTGAGGAAGTGGAGGACGTCTATCCTTGCACGCCTCTTCAGGAGGGACTAATGTCGCTTTCCGCAAAGCAGCATGGCTCGTACATCATGCGTCAAGTCCTGGTGCTATCGACTGACATCCGCATGGCCGATTTCCATCAGGCTTGGGAGCAGGTTGTTCAGGCGCACCCGATCTTGCGGACGCGGATTGTCAGTGTGGGCTCCAATATGTATCAAGCCATCACCACTCGGTCACTGTCATGGAACACCAGCATTGACCTTGACCACTACATCGCGCACGACGATTCTCGGGAGGTTGAGTTTGGAGCACCTCTCAGCCGATACGCAATCATCCCCTACTACGATAGGTTCTTTTTCGTTTGGACGCTACACCACTGCATCTACGATGGCTGGTCACTCCCACTCCTCCTCACCGACCTCTCCAAGGCCTACAACAAGACCTCGCGCGGAGACTCGGATATTCCGGGGTTCAATACCTTCATTAAGCATCTGAATGGACTGGATAAGACCGATTCAGACACCTTCTGGTCATCCTACCTCGAAGGCCCGAGTACCACATTCCCTGCTTCACTGCTCCCGAACCAGACTGCCCAGCCCAGTGCAACCCATGACGAGAATATTGGTTTCTCTGTTAACTCCATTGACGGTATCACTTCATCGACCATTCTCCGCACTGCTTGGGCTCTACTCACGCGAAGCTACACCGGCGATTCGGATGTGGTCTTTGGCATGACAGTCAATGGCCGCAACGCACCTGTTCTTGGCATCGATCGGATGAGTGGCCCGACCATTGCCACCATTCCTGTTCGTGTCCGTTGGGATTCTAAGGGGAGCACCAACATCCGTTCCTTGCTCGAGTCTGTGCAGCAGGATGCCACAACCATGATTCCGTTCGAGCAGACAGGCCTGCAACACATCTCTCGTCTACACGAGGACGCTCAAGCTGCTTGTCAGTTTGGCACTCTGTTCGTTGTTCAACAGGATGACAGCGAGGAAGATAAAGCCGTAGCAAACATCATGGAGCTCTACGACGCGTCCGAGGACACTTCAGCCCAGTTCACCACCCAGCCATTGCTAGTTGAGTGTGTGATGGAGGCATCGTCAAGAACCGTCTCCCTTCGGATGAGTTACGACCCAAAGTTGCTGGATTCTTTTCTGGTTTCTGGAATGGCGCAGCAGTTCAAGCACATTCTGTCGCAGCTGGTCGAGATGGAGAACCTCGACAAGCCCATCGGAGACCTTCATCTCATCAACCCAGCCGATCATGAGCAGGTTATGAAGTGGAATGAAGGACGGGTCAATCCCATTCACAAGACCATGCACGACCTTGTGAGTGCTGCCGCCGTCGTCAATGCCACACGTCCTGCTATCAGCGCCTGGGACGGCGAAATGACGTACGCGGAACTTGAGTCGGCATCTTCGCAAGTTGCTGGTCGACTTCGCAGCGTCGGCGTTGGCAGCATTGGCCAAGGTGAGATGGTCTTGTTGTGCTTTGAGAAGTCTCGATGGGCTATCGTCTCGGCACTCGCGATTCTCAAGGCTGGCGCGGCATTTGTTGCTCTTGACCCAGCCCAGCCGGATGATAGACTCGCGACGATTATGAAGCTGTCGAAAGCTCGTCTTGTCTTGACTTCCAAGGGCTTGGAGGAGCGCTTGACACGCCTCTCCAAGAACACACCCAACGTCGTATGCACCTCGGAGCTTGTTGCTTCGGCAGACACCGCCACTCCCTTCGTCAAGCGGCACAGAGCTTCCGGTAGTGATGCCCTCGTCAAAGGAGTCATCTCATCACCTGAAGATCTTGCCTACGTCATCTTCACTTCTGGCAGTACTGGTGTACCCAAGGGTGTCATGATCAGTCATCGCGCGGCATCTTCGAGTATGATGGCTCATGCTGAGCGCTTTGGGGTCGACTCTTCGAGTCGTACGCTACAATTCTCATCCCTGACGTTCGATGCTTGCATTTTTGAGATCTTCACAACGCTTGCCACCGGCGGCTGTATCTGTATGCCTTCAGATGCCCAGCGTGTGGATGATCTCGCAGCAGCTATCAACTCCTATTCCATCAACACCGTCATGTTGACGCCGTCCGTTTTGGCGCTGCTATCACTAGAAGATACACCTTCACTTCGCTCCATCATTTTCATCGCCGAGCAAGTCACTGACAATGACATCTCACGCTGGTCTAGCCAATGTCGCATCCAGAATGGTTACGGGCCTACAGAGTGTACTGTCGTTTGCGTCGTTAATCCCGATCTTCGGGACGGCGGTCGCATCGGCCACGCTGTCGGTTGTCGTGCGTGGGTTGTTGACGCCGATAACATCGACAAGCTGGTGCCGATCGGATGCACCGGTGAGCTTCTCATTGAAGGACCTAGTCTCGCCATCGGATACCTGAATGATGCGCAGCGAACGTCAGAATCATTCATCTTCAATCCCGCTTGGGCACTCGGCGACGAGCCTTCGGCAACGCGCCGTTTCTACAGGACAGGTGACTTGGTGCGGCAGACAAGCAACGGCTCCTTCATCTACCTCGGACGCAAGGATACCCAGGTCAAGCTCCGTGGTCAGAGGATTGAGCTTGGGGAGATCGACTTCCACATTCGCCGTGCTCTCCCGTCGGCCACTGTACGTTCAGATATCGTTGATCTTCAGCAACAAAAGGCTGGCAGCGGCATGCTCAAGGCAATTGCTGCCTTTGTCGTCCTTGATGGTGTCGACGTAAACATCGAGAGTAACGCTGGTATAAGCGCTGATTCACTCAAGCAGGTTGGTGAAGCTGCCTCTACTGCTGTTGCTGAGCTGGGTCGCTCGGTGCCACCTTACATGGTCCCTTCAATCTTCATCCCCATTTCCAAGATGCCTCTCACTGTCTCTGGAAAGACGGATCGTCAAAGGCTCAAGGCCATCGCAGCCAAGGTCCCCCACAAGCACCTCAATACCTTGCGAGCCCTTCAACGCGGAGTAACAGGCGACGGACTCAAGGTTGCACCTCGCAACGATGTCGAAAAGCGCATGCAATCCGCCTGGTCAACCGTCCTACAGCTGGATCCCGAGAGCATCGGCATCAATGACAGTTTCTTCCGTCTCGGTGGAGACTCCATCTCTGCGATGAAGCTTGTTACAGCTGCGCGATCAGTCGGCATCTCCATCACCGTGTCCGACATCTTCCAGACGCCCATTTTGGCCAACCTTTGTCGGTGCAGTAGCAACGAGAGCGATGAGATTGAAGTCATTCCACCGTTTTCTCTCATCTCAGCATACGACACCCTGATGCATCAAGAGGCTGCCCGACAGTGCGGTGTGGCTCCTGAAGCCCTCGAAGACTTGTATCCTTGCACCCCGCTTCAACAGGGCCTTATCTCGCTCTCGGTCAAGGAAGAGGGATCTTACATCGTTCGCGAGACCTTCCGCCTCCGCAGTGTGCGCGTGAGCCGATTCCAGAAGGCTTGGGAGTACGTCGCGAACATTCACCCTATTCTTCGCACCCAGCTCGTGCATCTGGACACCTACGGAACTCTTCAGGCCGTGATCAGCACCAAACAGGCAATGCGGTGGCGCACGGCTTCCTCTCTGGAGGAGTATCTTGCCCAAGACGAGAAAGAGACCATGGGCCTGGGTACACCCCTCAGCCGGTATGGTCTTGTGTTGCCGACCAACCTGGCGGACGACGCCATCTTCATCTGGACTGCCCATCACGCCATGTACGATGGTTGGTCGATGCCCATCATCAAGGAGGCTGTTGCCACAGCGTACATGGAAGTGATGCTCCCTGAGGCTCCTGCATTCAACACATTCATCAAGCACATCCAGGGAGTCGATGCGACCGCCGCTCAGTCATTCTGGAAGTCTTACTTTGACGAAGCAGGTGCTTCACCTTTCCCTGCTGTTCCACACGGAGCTTCTCTGGAGTTCCGAGCCGACAGGTCCGAGAAGGTAAACCTGTCTTGGAAGTCCCGACAACGTGATGGAGTCACCGTATCGACTCTCCTCCGTGCAGCATACGCCATCGTCGTCGGGACGTACACCGGTTCCTCTGATGTTGTCTTTGGCACGACATTGAGTGGCCGCAACGTTCCTGTACCTCGCGTTGAGACTATCGTTGGCCCAACTATCACGACTGTACCAGTCCGGTTGTCTTGGGATGCCAATATGACCGCACAGGAGCTGCTGCAGAACGCCCAGCGCCAGGCCACCACGATGATGCCTTTCGAGCAGATGGGTCTAGTCAACATTGCAAAGATCAGCGAATCAGCCAAGAGATCTTGCCAGTTCCAGAGCATTTTTGTCGTCCAGCCTGAGAAAGATGACGACAGTGCTGCGTGCGAGAGTCTCTTTGGTGACCAGCTGAGCAATGCCTCCAGCAGCGAGGAGACTGCTTCTCCTCAGACTTACCCCCTGGGTATTGAGGCGACGGTCGAGGGCAATGAGCTTGAACTATCTGCCACCTATGACAGTCGCATCATTGATCCCCCTGAGATGCGCCGCATCTTGCATCAGGTCGGGCATGCCGCCTCGCTCCTCGACCAGAACCCCAATCTTCCCATCTCAGCATTGAACTTGGCCGGCAAATCAGACTTGTCTCAGATCCAGGCATGGAACGCCCGAGGTCCTCCAGCAGGAGCGCGAGAGGCTGTGTACACCATTATTAGTCGCAATCCCTCCTCGGCGCCCGCTGTCAGTGCGTGGGATGGTGACTTGACATATGCCGACTTGACCAGGCTCTCTAATGGCTTGGCCCATCGCCTCCGCGGCATGGGAGTCGGCGTCGGCGCCGAGACTGTGGTCGCCTTCAGCCACGGGAAGTCCAAATGGGTTCCAGTCATTATGCTTGGTATCCTCAAGGCAGGTGGTGCGTTCGTTGCTTTGGATGCTGCTCAGCCTGAAAGCCGTCTCAAGTTCATCGTCGAAGAAGCTAGGATCGGCGTCCTTCTCACTTCACCTGAGCTGGCAAAATCGCCCTCGTTGACGAATCTCCCTGTCACTCCAGTCTTCCCAGCGTCGCTCGAGTACTCGATCGAGGAGAAGGAGACTACCCCGCCACCTGCTCACAGTGTCTCTCCACCTGACTCCCTGGCATATGTTGTCTTCACGTCTGGCAGCACGGGTGTGCCAAAGGGAGTGATGGTGTCTCATTCTGCTGCGGCCTCCAGCACTTTGGCCCACGGCTCCGCCATGGGAATTACTTCCGAGAGTCGAGTCTTGCAATTCGCTTCTTACACTTTCGACGCCTGTGTGCTTGAGGTACTTGGCACTCTGCTCGCTGGAGCTTGTGTCTGCATCCCCTCGCCGGAGGAGGCTACCGAGGACCTGAACGCAGCAGTCCGCAAGTATGGTGTTAACTTTGCTGCTCTCTCACCTCGAGTCGCTTCTCTCCTTCGTCCTAAGGAGGTCCCAGCCATCAAGGCTATTGCACTGGGTGCTGAGGTTGTGACGAGCTCAGATATCCAGCGATGGGAGGGCCGACGTGTGAGTAACGGTTACGGCCCGACCGAGTGCACCGTTGTGTGCGTCTTGGAGTCTAGCAACCACAAGCCTGGACGCATCGGAAGAGGTGTTGGCTGTATCTGCTGGATCGTGGACCCTGAAGATCCGAACAAGCTGGCACCTGTCGGTGCGCCTGGAGAGCTTCTCGTCGAGGGACCATGTCTGGCTCGCGGATATCTTCATCAAGAAGAGAAAACCCGGGCCGCCTTCGTACAGGATCTTGCCTGGACTCAAGGTTTCCCCAGTCCTAGTAGCAGGCCCACACGTTTCTATAAGACCGGCGACATTGTCAGGTACGACTCAGACGGTGGCATCTTATTCATCGGCCGAAAGGACAACCAAGCCAAGCTCAGGGGTCAGCGCATTGAACTCAGCGAAGTTGAACATCATATGCGTCGCGCTCTACCTGAGTGCCACGTCGTTGCCGACATCGTCAGCTTCCCTCAACAGAAGAACGACTCCATGGCCTTGGTCGCCTTTGTCGTGCCTTCGAGCAGCAAGGCATCGGGCAACTCCCTCGGATCCATGCTTCCGCTCGACAGCGAAGCAGTCAAGGCCTTTGCTCAATCTTGGGCGAAGGCAACAGTGGAGATGTCTCATGCAGTGCCGCTTTACATGGTTCCCACGCTCTATATCCCTCTCGACTCAATCCCACTCACCTCGTCGAGCAAGGTCGATCGTCGCAGACTTCAGGCTATTGTTGCAGACGTCACTACCGAACAATTGGAACTTCTCCGTGGCGTTCAAGGTGTGAAAGAAGCTCCACGCTCGTCCCTGGAAAAGAGCGTGGTGTCTGCCTGGGCACATGTCCTTGGACTTAACACCGGCAAGATTGGCATCCGGGACAGTTTCTTCCGTCTTGGAGGCGATTCTATCACAGCTATGCGCCTGGTGCCAATTTTGGCCGAGGGTGGTCTGACGCTCCGTGTCTCTGATGTCTTCAAGTATCCGGTCTTGGCCAGTTTGTGTCGCCATCTCCAAGGGGATGAAGACCGCACAGATGGGTCTTCCTCCTCGACAGACGAGTGGTCAGATCTTGGCGGCAGTCAAGATCTCACTCCCGACGCTGAGCATATCGATGAAGAGGCCCTGCAAGTTGCTGCTGCTGAAAACATCGCCATTGGTACCGAATTGTCTTCAGTGGCACAAGCTTCTTCAAGCAGTCCAGCCGAGTACCACATCACACCGGCGTCAGACTTCCAAGCTCTTGCATTCGAGTTCTCTCAGCTCCGGAACCGCGGGTTTGTCAACTACTTCGTCCTCCGCTTCCTCGATCGCTTCAGTCATGAACGCATCCGCAATGCATGCACGCAACTGGTTCAGCACCACTCCATCCTTCGCACCAAGCTCAAGCTTGCCAATGGCCGACTCTGGCAGCTTGCTGCGTCCAGGACCTCTTTCCAGCCCGCTTTTGAGTTCTTTCGCGTCACTTCGGATGATGTCGTCTCTTTCACCACGCGCTTGATCGAGACTGATGAGGCCCGTCGCTTGGGTTCCGATGAGATTCCTACCAAGTTCTTCATCGTCGAGTCCGCCTCGCAAACTCAACTTGTCATGAGGCTTGCTCATACGCACTATGACGGCCTGTCCTTCCCACTTCTTCTCCAAACGCTTTCCCAGGCTTTGAAGCGGAGTGAACTTGCTCCTGAAGTCTCCTTCGCCAAGTTTTCTTCCAGTATCCAGGCTCTTCCTTCTCGGCACTCCATGTCATACTGGCGACACCTCCTTGAGAACTCGCAGATGACTCCAGTCATCACTCCTGCTGCCATCACCGCCAACGACGGAATTGAGGATCACATTACTCGGCTTGTGACCTTGCCAAATCTTTCTCAAGCTAGTGTGACCTTCGCCAGCGTTCTCAAGGCCGCCTGGGCCATCGTCCTTGCCCAACACTCGAGTCTCTCCGACGTTGTCTTTGGCTGCCTGGTGTCCGGTCGATTCGCTCCGGTCGCTGGCATCGAGTCCGTGGTAGGACCTTGCGTCAATCTATCTCCTGTCCGCGTCAACAACATCTTGAAGGACACTAGCACGCGTTCTTTCCTGCAAGCCGTTCACGCCCAACACACCAAGAGCATGGAGCACGAGCACGTCGGGTTCCGTCGCATCATTACGGGAGCCACGTCTTGGCCAGCTCGAACTTCTTTCGCGGGCGCGTCCATCGTGCAGCACCAAAACATCCCTCTGGCCGCTGAGCTCAACGAAACGACACCAGACTTGCCTTTTGAGTTGAGCGCCAAGGGAGGTACCTCGAATGCTGCTGCTATCTGGATCATTACTACTTCCCGTCCTTCAGAGGGCCTTTTGAGTATCGAGCTTACTCACGCCCTCAACACGATCAATCACAACACCGCCGAGACTCTTTTGCAGGCACTCTGTGTCGCTATTGAGCATTTCGGTCACCACTGGGACTCGGAAGCATCGCTTCCCGACACTCGAAGCCAGAAAACCAAGACCAACAACGCGCCACTCTTGCCTGGCGGACCAATTGGCGATGTCGCTGAGTCTGTCGCGTCTTCCGACGTGCAAAGTCCTGATGAACAGGCCCGCGCGGTGGTCAATCAGGCGTGGAGCTTGTTGCAAAAGGCACATTCCCGAGACACATCGTCAGAAGGAATACCTACCTCCATGTTCGACGTTTGGAATGACAACCTCGTCGCTGTGGCTTTGAAGGGCATGTATGAGAGCCTGGACGTTTTCCTTGATCTTGAGCAATTGCTTCAGCATCCAACGATGGAATCGCAAGCAAGCTTGCTGACTTCTTTGGACTTCTGAGTTTTGTACTTGTAGTTATCATTTTTTCCTTGTTTGTCTGAGAATGTCTCTCGGGAACAGTACTTGACTGCTAGAATGGCGTTCGGTGCTTTAGATAGGAGCTTGGCGTAAATTTGATTCTTTATTGAACATCTTTTGACCCCGCAACTTCGCGTTCCAGTCGAATTATCCGTTGCACCACCTAAAAACAAGCCTTAAAATGTGGAGTTGTGAAGACTGAATTCCAGTTGTGCTTGTTCATAAAGCGCGACCATACCAAATGGGGATCGTGTTTCGACAATGCCAAGATGTACGACTTTGCCGCTTTTCCGGTCGTATCCCGACAGTCTTTCAACGTTAATGATGGCCCCCAAACACAGCCACAATCAGAAAGTATCGACATCACATCTCCATTTGCCTCAAGATATCGCTCTGTCTCGAGGGCTGCTGCAGTGTCTCGGCCCCTACGCACTACCATCCGACACGATTCGTTTTCCCCAGTCCAGTCGAAAACTAACAATGGTCTTCTTGGGCCGGCCGTCAGAGGCGTGTTACCCCTGTCGCAAGGGAAGACTCAGGGTTCGTACTCCATCTTGTTTCCAAACCCCCCTTCCGACTGGTCCGCTCGTATCTTCAGCCCCGAGCCTCGACCCGTCAGTCCCTTTGGCGGTCTGTACGACACCATAGCACGCATACTTCTGTGCTGTTGTCAAGCGCGTAATAACAACCAACATGAACCACACTCTTCAGACATGAGCCAAGGCTGACATTTGTCTCTTTCCGTTCTCGTTCTACAGTGTGATCGCCTGCAGCCCGGATGTACCCAGTGCTCCCGAAAGCAGATAGTTTGCCCCGGCTACAGGGATCCTTCGGAATTCTACTTTAGAGACGAGACCGCCAACGCTGCTTTTAAGGTCCAGAATAGGAAACCCAGGAGGCGTCTGCCCGCCAAAACGAAGCCGCAACCGCAATCGGTGGCGGGAGCAGATGCGCAGAAGCAACATGCGAGCTCGAGCGGCACTCCAATAGTGGCGGCCACACCAAGGCAGTCCGTTGGAAATTTGGTCCATCGCGGGTCTCCGTCAAGCTCCTCGTCCTCAACTCCACCGTCAGACGGTGAAGTGGTTCGCTACCGGTCACTCTCGTCGCCCATCGAGGACTTAGCGCGCACATATTTCATGACCGACTACATAGCGACCTCGCCATTTGATTACCTACCTAAGCTCTGCCCCTATGGGCTAACAGGAAACGATGCCATGTCGGCCTCCATACTGGCTGCCAGCTTTGCCAGTCTATCACTAAAGATATCGGACTCAAAACTCATGAAGCAAGCTAGAGTCCAATACGCCAGCGCATTATGTCAAACAAACCAAGCACTGAGCTCATCGAGACTTGCCGTCGAGGATAGTACTCTAGCCGCCGTGCTTCTCCTAGGATTATTCGAGGCCATCGTCTTTTCCGGGCAGCAATCTATTGATAGCTGGAACCAGCACACGCTTGGATCTGTAGAGTTATTGCGCCTGCGTGGAAGTCAGCAATTTGAGACTGCCCTTGGCCGCAAGCTTTTTGTTCACTCTGCAAACAACATCCGCACGAGCTGCGCACATAGCAAAACGCCTGTCCCGACCCGATTCATAGAACTCTACGATGATGCACAGCCGTATCTTGATCACAACGATCCTTTCCTCAAGGTCACCCCTGTTCTTGACCGGGTCGCCACTCTACGGTCAAGAATAGCTGATCTGCAGGACTCAGAAAGACATGAGGTTCTTGTGGAAGCTCTAGACTTGGACACGGCCACAGCGAAGCTTGGGCAAGAAGTCTCGGCAGAATGGAGGTTCACGGCAAGGGGCCCAGAAGAGAGGGCACCAATGACATACAAGGGGATATCTTTCCGCTATCCTTCCCTTCGAGCATTGCGGTACTGGAACTCCTTGAGAATCATTCGCATGTTTCTCAACGACCTTATCTGGATGCAAACATCTTTGATACTTGCTCAGGGACCGACATCAGCCAACGCGGGCTATCTGACAATGCAGGAGTGCGCGACGCGGAAAATGTCGACTCTGGTGATCGAGGTTCTCGCTAGTTGCGGCGAATACCTAGAAACCACCGAAGACCGGTTCTCTGTTACAGCAAGATGCTTGATCTGGCCATTGTCAGTCATTGCTGAGATTTCCATAACGCCCCCAGATGCCCGACGCTTCGCTCTTGATTGCTTAGACCGGCTGAGCCGCGACGGCCGTGTTCCACGACCGATTGCGGTAGCAAACACAATGATGGGCCTTCAGGCAGACTGGTCAGTAATTATCTCTTCTGTCACACTGCTCGAACCATTCTCGTTGAGTTCTCGCCCAGGTTTTACATGTATCTTCTTGGATAAACCCCGTGAAGGCCTGTTTCGTTTCCAGTATCGAGTGGTGAACAACTCAACTCACACACACACACACCAGATGAACATCGATTGGAAGTACACGTAGAGTTGACTCCAGTACTAGTATGCCTGGGGGCTCTTGTCAACCACCACAGTGGCAGTCCGGTATCGACAGTGTTATATCTACGACTACTCTATGCCCGGCTGAGCAGCGGCAGAAGACGTTCCGATCTCCACCGCCTCCCACAATAGGCGGTTACTTTACATCACTTGTGTCAATAGCACACCAATGCTGAATAGCAATTGCCAACGTTGCGGCAATGCAACAGAAGGCATTTTGCCGAGAAGCGCGAGTTATACAGGTCTCACTCTCGTAGGTCACTTTCCCAACTGAAAATGGTGTTAAGACAGGACTGGATGAAGTTTGCTAACTCTCGTATACAAGTTTCCGACCGTGGATCATGGAAGCCGACAGCTTCTTTCACTCCTTCCACTGATGTCCATTCGCTCCGTTCGTGCGTCCCTCGTACTCATAGCGTTCCTCGAGTTTGAAGTACTTGTTGAAACCGACCCCCTCACAAACCTCGGCATAGGACAAAATTGTCGGGGGCTTTCCAACAGTGAAGGACCCTTTCAGCGCCTCTAAAGCCTCGCGGATACTCTGTAATTTCGCGGCAACCAAAGTCCACGGATACGCAACTCCGCAGTACCCAAGCTTGCCCAGGTCTTGTGCAGACAAGTTCTCCGTCTTACCACCCTCGATGATGTTGGCAAAGACGGGGAAATCGAGATCCTTCCTAAGTCGTTCCATGGTCTCGCGATCGGGGAGTGCCTCGACAAACACGGCATCCACCCCAATCTCAATCGCTTTACGGGCTCTTGTGAGAGCCTCGTCGTATCCGTGGATGAGACTATCGGTCCGGGCCATAATCCACATGTCCACTCCTTCGTCTCTAGCATCAACTGCGGCCTGCCATCGGGCATAAGCCTCACTTCTAGAAACAACGCTCTTGCCAGCAGTGTGGCCGCATCCTGAAGTATTGTTAGATCTAGTCTGTTTCTTCAGAACGGGTCATATATTTGTCATACTCTTCGGCCAAGACTGATCCTCTATCATGATGCCGGCAGCTCCCGCGGCCGCAAAGCTACGCACAACAGGTCAGCACAATCACCAGCTTTGTATCTGAGCGAAGGTCAACCTTACCCCTCAACTGTTCTTTTCACGTTCGTCGGGCCGCCATATCCAGTATCGCCATCAACAAGGACGGGAACTTTGACTTCCCTGACAACTTCTTGGACCTTAGCAGCAACTTCCTGGAAAGCGATGTATCCAGTGTCAGGAAGGCCAAACGCTGAAGCCATGGCATATCCGGCAAGGAAGACCAGAGGGAAGCCGGCCTCCTCGCAAAGTCGCGAACTCAAGGCATCGTAACTGCAGACATGGGCAAGGATCTTGGAAGGGTCTTCGTGCGCCTCTTGCATCATGGCTCGAATCTTGGTTGCCTGGAGGGAGGGAATCCTTCCACGACAATTTCCCAATTCCACTATCGCTTTCTTGTCGCGTCTCTCGATAGCTGGGCCATTGCTTGCGTCGAAGTGGAACGGATAGGGAGTGGTGTTGACGATAGACTTGGACATGGTTGGCTATTCGGAATCGCTTGATGTGGGGGTTTTTGGTAGCTGATAGGATCTCAATATTGATATCGTTGTGAAGCTTGCATGAGCCTTTCCATCAAGCGATTGCCCTGACTTATATACACACGAAGTTCCAGGCTTCACCGGAATCTATGCAACATCTCCGTGAGCTCCGGTCCTCGGAGTCACCTACTTGTGGTACACACCATCAAAGCGAGCTGTGAAGTTTTGTTAATGGCGGACGCGCTTATTGATTTTCGAATTCATCCCGAATTGAGGCAGGATGGAACCATGCCTGTGAAAGGTGAGGGGAGCAGAGTTGAGATGATGACAGCGCAGACAGCGAACACGGACCGAAGCGGGTAGTCGCGGACTGTCGCGGACTATCACGGGCTTTCGCGCTATGTAGCGGATTGTAGCGGGGTTCTTCGGCAATGATTTTCCTCGCTTCGTCAACCCTCCAGACCTTCAGCATCAAGAGGAAACACACGTTCTCATATCTGGGATCTTCCAGTAGGCTCATAGGGGTAAGAGAAAATGACAAGCAAGGCTTCATGAATGATTGAGATGTTTGGGGCTGACATGTCCAGTATTTAGTCGAATCTTGTGTCCCAACTCAGTGGTTGTTGCTTGACTTGACTCAATATGAGCGACGAGCCAGGGAATAAGTCTGCCACAGGACCGTCCTCAGTCAGATCACCACGATTCAAGCGCACCTATGTTGCCTGCGACACCTGTAGGTCTCGGAAAGTGAGATGCATCATGGGAGATGAGCCTCCTTGCGCCAAATGCAGACGTGAGCATCGCGACTGTCGATTCGATCGTCGTTCGAGAACCTCGAAGCATAGGGATCCGCCAAATTGGAATAGCATCAGGGCGACTGAGCATGCTACTAGACCACAGCCTGCCGGCACCATTCCGTCCAGGTCGCCGCAAGATGTTGATATACTGGTACAAGAAGACTTGTCACCAGCGGCACCTCCTTCTAGGGTGCTCACCCAAGACCTTGGAACGAGATGGCGTCGAAGTTCTCTTCATGATAGTTCACTTTCGGGACGGGTTATCTCTAGTCTTGTGACGGGTTCCAATGACGCTCTCGATGTGCTGTCCGACGCCGCAAATCTACTTCATCATGCTACAGTATCTCCATCCTCGGGCCCCCCTTCAGCACAGCCAACACACACCGTGCAAGACGTCCCCCTTGCCGTGCCTGCTAGAGAACAGACAGGCGGCCAAATTGGGGTAGGTTTCATCATTCAGGCTCTATCTGAACCAGTCGACGAGACTCTAGATATGTGGGACAAGTGTAGATTCGTCAGACAGGGTTGGTTCACCTCGCAAGAAGCTGTCACGTACATTGATCTGTAAGGTTCAACACTTCTGTCCCAGCCATTTCTCACTGACATCGACCAGCTTCTTCAAATATCTCTCACCACTATCTCCCGTCACGGTTGACCAATTTCGGAACCACGATGCCCATTCAAGCCTCGTTTACGAAGAGTCGATGTTATATTGCACTATCCTGATGATTTCATCTCGATTCTTCCTGTTGCCGGGATCAGGTGGCATTTCCAGGAGTCATCTAATACACAATCGACTTTGGCAATTCTGCGAGCTTATGATCAAACGCATTATATTGGGCCAAGAGAAGATTTCCACCGCTAAGATGAGAATAATCGGTACAATTGAGAGTTTGCTGCTCATCTCGGACTGGCACCCTCGAGCCATCCATTTCCCCCCAGATACAGAGGGCTGGGATGCTTTGCTTATCGACTTGGATTACGACCGAGAGAATCGGAAGCGAACCAACGATGAGGAGCCCCTGCTTCGTTGGCGCAAAGATGTCTTCGAGCCCGCGAAAAGGGCAAGTAGGATGTCTTGGATGCTCCTTGGCCTTGCTACGAATCTTGCTTATGAACTTGGCATATTATCGACCGACCAGCGCGCAAACTACTTAGCATCTAGTGTTGCTGATTGTCGCAAATTTCGAGCTCAAAGGCTCCTCTATGCCTACATGACACAAACCGCCACGAGACTAGGGTATAGTTCCGTCTTTCCCGAGACTGTGTCCATTGCAGCGTCTCGATCTTCGATGCAAGACATGGGCGATTCTTCACAGGCGTCATGGACCTCATACATTGATGTCTACTTAGAGTTTATCCGTCTCTCAAAAGTAGCTTCGTCTATGTTTTTCCAATCTGTGGACCACTTGGAAGGTTTACTTCGAATCGATGGCTATCCAGATCTATTGGAAAAAATTTTGGGCTCTCTTTCCAATTGGAAGGCTTCACTTGATTCGGACTGCCAAGGTTTGTTTCGTAGTAGTCCTACCACTTCACATGACTAACACGATTGCGCAATCGTAGCCGGGCTTCTAAGGACCTCACTATCTATCGAGTATTTCCATCTCAGAGCTTGTGTAGGTGCCATATCTATACAGGCAGTCGTACGACGAGCTGCGACAGCCAATCTTGATGGAGTCGAAAAGGACAGTCTCGCTGGTTATATGACTGCCCAGGATGCTAGATTTCTGCAAGAGGTTGTTTCGGATAGCAGCGAAGTGCTGCGCATTGCAACCCAGACGTCTTTCCAGTCACATCTTGCATATGCGCCAGCAAGCATCAGAATCAGCGTGATATCTGCATCTGTTTTCTTGCTAAAGGCCCTTAGTCTTGGATCACCAGCAACAGATGTTCCCACAGCCTTGCGAACGTTGGATCGATGTGTAATAGCGTTGGGAAGATACCCGCCCGACGACATGGATTTTGCACTGAGATACGCTCATCTCATTGAGAAACATACCCATTTTCTGAAGTTCAATCTCTTCTCTGCGTCTGAGGCCCATGGAAGAAGCACCGTGCAGTCTCATGCACCCAGCTACAATCACAACAGCCTAAGCGGATTCGACATCTCACTGCCGAGTCTTCCAGCTGATCAAAATATCAATGATGACGTGTCTTCGGATCAAAATGGGATCTGGCGGGCTCTGCAATTCGACTCAAGCATTGCGCCTTTCAGTAACAACACAGACCAACTTTACCAGGGTTTCGACATTGACTCACTCAACTTCCTATGGAACCTCCCAGATACTAGTTAGAGATGCCTTCCGCTGTCAAAAAGATTCTCGAACCAACGATTTGTTTGAGAATTTGTGTTTGAGAAACTGATCCAGATCTCCGCATAACCTCTAGTGTCAGCTCCTTGGAGACATCCGTGACTGCCCGTTTGAAGCCGCGTCGGTCCGTTGAAGTTGGTTTGGTTATGCGAAGAATGTTCATCCTTCTCCAAACCCTTGTTGGCAACGCATGTTTCTTCCACCCGTCTCAGTCCGCTGAGATCCGTCCATCCATCGTAGACCTTAGATCACCTCAAAGACCCTAACATTGAACTGGCTGGCTTACACGTTTCCGGCCAGATTTTCCATAGATCTAGTCAAGTCTGCCACGAAAATAAACATACATGTATACACTAGCGAGCGGGTGTGTGCAGGATAATGCGGGGAAACCTGGGCTATCCGTGAGATAATCTGGGGTGCAGCTACCTCTTTGAGACGTGTCCTGTATAAGAAGGGGAAGCAGTAATTCTTTGGCAAGTCCTCAAATTCGGTAGTGATTTCAATGAGCTTCCAAGAGCTCCCTCTTTCCATTACAGTACGTTTTCTCTTTCATTGAGGAATATTCAAGATGGTCACTGCCGATCGACCTGATCTTGAGGCGCACGACTCTTCAACTGCACCGAAAGCAGATGGAGTTGCCGTATGCCAACATCTGGAGACGAGGGTGGCACCGAAAGCCCATACAAACACACCAGAGACTATGGAAGTTTGCGAGGGCGTGAGCCCGGCTGAGATCAAGTTGGTCCGGAAGTTGGATTGGATTATCTTGCCAGTCCTTTGGGTTATGGTCTGCACTTATAGTCCAATCAACCAAGCCTGTTACGAATGCTAACTTCAGTACTCTTCTATCAGTATTGGTTCAAGTAAGCATTCCAAGGGGCGATGTGCTCAAGCATAAACACTTCCTGACTATTTTTCCGACAGTTACCTTGATCGAAACGCTATTACCGTAGCTCGCTTAGATGGCATCGAGAACGAGCTCAACCTGACCTCGACTAAGTACCAGACCTGCGTCTCCATACTCTTCGTTGGATATATCCTAGGACAAATTCCGAGTAGTGCGTTTTGATTTACCCTTGTGTCTCCAGCAGAATCTGACAAATATCAACAGACATGTTGATAACAAGAGTCAGGCCGTCCTGGTTTATGGCATCAACTATGGCCCTTTGGTCAATTGTTAGTGCCGTGACAGGTGTAACAAAAGATTTTAAAGGACTACTTTTAACTCGATTCTTCCTTGGCATTACTGAAGCGCCGTTCTACCCCGGTGCCCTGTATTTGCTTGGAATCTTCTACACCAGAAAGGAAATTGCGACACGAATATCCATACTCTTCACGGCTAACATCTGTGGCACTGCTTTCGCTGGCCTCATAGCCATCGGGGTATTCCAAATGGACCAGATGGCTGGTCTTAGCGGATGGCGATGGCTGTTCATACTCCAGGGTATCATCAGCTTCATCATTTCGGTTTCATCGGCCTTTCTGTTGCCTGACCAGCCGCTCGACACTCGCTGGCTCAGTGAGGAGGAAAGGAGGCTTGCGCACTCCCGAGTTGCAGTTGATACGGTTCAACTCCAGGCGAACACCAGCACCTGGACCGGTCTCTCTGAAGCCTCTCGGGATCCACGTCTTTGGGTTCTGGTGGCGATGCAGCATTTGCACCTCAGCGCATCGGGATACAAGAACTTCTTTCCAACAATTGTCGAAACACTGGGTTTCGGCCGAAACGTCACCCTCGCCTTAACATGCCCCCCTTACATCATCTCCGGCATTGCAACCATCGCATGGGCTGCCAGCTCAGGTGAAGACTTTTGACCAATCTTGCATACCTAGGCCCCTCCCACTGATAATTGACATATTTCCAGGTCACTTCAACGAAAGAGTCTGGCATATTACCATTGCCAAAGCCGTCGCGGTCTTTGGCTTCGTCTTGGCCTGCAGTACTCTGAATGTCGGTGCGAGATACTTTGCGATGTGTACCTTTGCCAGCGGTGTCTATGCTTGTAACTCTATCATTCTCGGCTGGGTCTTGAGTACCTGTGGACAAACGAGGGAGAAAAAGGCCGTTTCTCTCGCGTTGGTCAACACAATTGCCACCATCGGGTCAATATACACCCCAGTAAGTTACAGTCTTCTATTGCGACTCAAATATTTCACCGGCAAGAAATCTGACTTGTTGAAGTATCTCTGGCCTGAATCAGATGCACCTCGATATACCACGGCTATGCTGTCTAGCGCTGCTTTCTCTGTGGCAGCCGCGATTATGGCGTGGGTATTGAAATGGATGCTGGTTAAGGAGAACAGAAGAATATCGCGTTCAGGCAATCAGGGCACGCTTCTGTACAGTCACTGAAGTTCAGAAAACTGTTTTGATGGGCTTCCAGTCATTTGTTTCAACGGGAGATTGTTGTATGTCGAAAAGTACTAACCTCGACTCCCTGGAGGGTGGCCGTATTGAGCGCTCAATTTGAAGATGCAAGGAAGAACATGGACCCAATATTGCCTTTATCAAAGAGTTGTTGTATGCTAGATTGTTGACTTTTGTAGGATCTTGTGAAGCTTCAATGACATGATCATCCACCATGCTACCGATTCTTCCGACGTCTAGAACGTGCAAGGGCAGTTGGGACCGCAAAGGTTTCTGCAGTATCCAACGTTGTCTCCGCCCCAGCATACGCCAGGCCTCCTTTGGCATGCCGCAATGCAAGCTATATAATGTCATTAAGGTCTCAGGTAGGCAAATATCAAGTCAGTCACGTACAGTCGCACTCCTATTGAACACTGGGTGTTAGCGGCTTCCCCTTCAGTCAAGTCAGACCTTGGTATTGAATGTTCACTTACAACCTGCTGGGCAACTGCCTGAGAGGCAAGAAGTCCGAAAAGAGCCAGAACGACAGTAGATGAAGGGAGCTGCATTTTGAGAGGTTTGAGATGCTTGAGATGTTGAATTGGTTTGTTGGATTGGAATGAACTGCGGAGCTATCGATCGTGAGAAGAGCGATTGGCCTTTTATAGTCTTTATGAGTACGCCCAAGGAAGCAATATGAACTCCCTGATTCACAGTAGGATGGAAATTTCATCCCGTCGCCGATGGAGAAGTCCATGTGCCAAGAACCCGATTAATGATCAACTTCGTAGAAAACACGGCCAACTAACATCTCCCGATGGTCGAGCTTCGGTCCCAATGTCAAGGCCAATGCCCGAATCACTGCGCCCAGTTTCAGGCTTTCTATTCAAATAGCTGACACCAAGATGCGCTTCATATACCTAGCAAAGCTTCTTATATGAGATTGCAGGTCGGCTGGGTCAGCGAGTCATAGCGACCCCATATTGCGAACTTTGGCAGCATGGCCCATCCACGACTCAATCTGGGCAGTCCACTTGTACAGCGATTTCTTCAGATGGCCCTCTGTACGATTACCCATACGAATACACGCATAATTTGACGCATATCTTGAGCTATGTTTCTCGGTGTGTGAAGGAAGCGTGACCCACATGCAACTTAGAAGCGGGACCACAGTAATTGCCATGCTGCGAAATCTTTCAGATCTGGTGGCTGCGATCTTCCATGCTTCGAGTGGGGAGTCGACAGTTCATAAAGAGGGAAGAAATAGTTCGCGGCATGATGAAGGTAGGCCAATGTATCGGTGCGATACGTCTGTTACATCTTTACAGGTTGGAAAATTGGAGTCGGTAACCTAGTACGAAGTACTCTGCGTACAGATATCTCCGTCTTGGCAGTTCGTAGATGGATGTTTAGGACGCCAAAATTGAATTACAATGTTGCTGGCCATTCGCCCGTAATATGGATGGCTCCATGACGGCCACTTTGAGGCCTGTTGCACCTTAATCCCCTGTTGAAGCTTAAATCAGATGATTGAACCTAAATGCACAAACCAGACAGGTTGCTGACCTTGAATGTGGAGAAGGTGAGAAGGTGAGAAGGTGAGACCCCTCATACCGAAAAGAACGGCAGGCACACACCTGCAGAGGTTGCTCAGTTTTCTTGCACGTGACACTGACGCCACTCCCGCTTGTCGCGCAGGCCGACTTCACCTTACATCACCAGCCTCATTAGCCTCGTGGAATCGCGCGCCTTTGACTCGATTTCCTCCCATCCGGCATTTTCACCAACACCTCTGCTCTTCACGCGCCGCGATCAACATGTCGACTACCGCACCGGAGACCGCCGAACAGGCGCTCACGGCGCCCAACACGCAAGAGACGACAACCGATGCCGCCGCTGCCCCAGCTGACGCCGCGGCTGTCCCCGAGGCAGTCGCGCCCGGCCCAGAGCCCAAGGCCATCACCCGCAAAGACATGTCTCTCCGCGAGTTCTTGACCAAGATGGACGACTATGCGCCCATTGTATGTCTTCGCAAAAGATTTGTGAGGGAACGAACATGGACTGACAGCTCTCACTTGCTTAGATCCCCGACGCAGTCACGAACTACTACATGACCAAGGCCGGCCTCCCCCCACCACCGCAGACCGACCCGCGCCTGGCGCGCCTGCTCGCTTTAGCAACGCAAAAGTTCATCGCCGATATCTCCGCAGACGCATATCAGTACAGTCGCATCCGCGCCTCCAACTCCAACGCGAATAACCCCATGGGCAACCTCGGTGCCGCGGCGGGATTCCCCATCCCGGGCCAACCCACAGGTCCAGCCGGCGCAAAAGACCAAGGTCGCGGAGGACCCCTCGGTATCCAGAGACCTGGCTACGGCGGCGGTGGACAGGGCGGCAGCCAGAACAGGACCGTTCTCACCATGGAGGACCTCGGCATGGCTGTCGGCGAGTATGGAGTCAACGTCAAGAGAAGTGAGTTTTATCGATAAGGGGGGTTGTCAAAGCAGCCGGGAGCTGCCAAATTATTTATTTTTCTTGGGCTGGTGTACATATACCACGGCGTTGGACGGGCTTGGGTATGGCGTCTATGGGGTTTTACATGACCGGGAGCTTCGGCTTTGGACGAGCACTACATTAGAGGTGCTCGAGAAGTTACACGATATGGATATCCATAAAGCTAGCAGAGGGTCGTCAACGGCACAGGGCCCCAAATTCTTATGCTACAGTATATCGCTGGTATCTTGACAGTGTTGTACAAATGTTTCCTCCACACCTTGACAGAGACGCCATCCGGATGCTGCTTAATTTTCGAAAATCCCAATGACGCCCCACCTTACATCCTGGACCAGATGAAGGGCTTTCTCGTCCTGCCAACAGTTAGCTCCAAGCACCTTGGTATTTTATGCAAGCACCGATTCGACGTACGGTGAGAATTCTCCCAGCTTGTGACCGACCATGTCTTCCGTAATCGTCACGTCAATGTACGCCTTGCCATTGTAGACCTGGAACTTGAGGCCGACAAAGTTGGGCAGGATCGTCGCGGAACGGGCCTGCGTCCGGATGGGCACAACCTTCTGTCCGGGTACGGGGCGTACGATCGGGAGACTATTCGCGTTAAAGCAAGGTCAGATTCGGGGGTTCGATTGAGTGGTGTTCGCGAGGGGAGGGATTCCTTACGGGACGATGTGAGGTCCTATAAACGAGCTGTCAGTTCATCTCTTCAATTCAACAGTATGCGCAACAGATGAATTACTCACCCTTCCACACGGATCGCTTCAGGAGGTGTCGTGTTGGCTGCATTGTCGCAACTCCTTTTACTTGTCTGGGATTGGTAGCTACTTCCTTCAAGTCACTCCTGGGCTGGGCTGTCGCGATGCTGCACGGGAAGAATTTCCGAGCTTCCAGAATTTGGCCGGGTCACGTGGAAAGCCGGTGCTCCCTGCTTCGGATCCGACTCTATTTCCCGGATTGCTGGCTTAGCTAATCACGGCTCACATCACTCAGTTGTAATCTGAACGTTCTCGGCGAACTTCTACAACGGCTTAACTTCACCGAAAAGTTACTAAATTCGATTCCGTCTTCCTTTTAGATGACCTCTACAAATTACTCAAGTCTTGCGTTCATCTGTCAAAATTAGTGAGTATTCTCGAATTGTAACCTTCGCATCATTTGGCGCTGCTTCTCAGCGCATTCTCGGACGGCCGTTCCACACTGTTGCAGACGGCAACGGTGACGGTAAAGCAGGTCAGAGCGATCAGTCAACTTGTTTCCTCGACAGCGAACTCTGTTGAAACGACTCAGTTCAAAGTTTGTCGGTATTGCAGCACCCAAGGATCCCCCTGTTGGCCGACAATTCCCAAAGTCTACTGAGAAAGGTTCCGCAGGCCACAAATCTAATAATTCTAGGCTGCACGGCTTGTTCCCCTGATCTCATGCCTCTTATATCACGTCATTGCACCGGAAGCATTCTCCTTTTTCTGCCAGCCGCCTCCTTGGGTAGTCACATCCTCTATTCGTAACCTTCTCGCGCCGTCGTCCCGAGTTCGCGGCTCAGTTTGGCCCCCTCGCAGCTCTCAAGTTCCACCTTGATGATCATTGTGGGGTTTGGCGATCCCTTAATTCCAGGTGCCAGTGACCACGCGGAGGGTATTCCCCCGGCGACTTGAAACAACCAACTTTATTTCCCCCCTTTGGGACCAACGACACCTCAAAGCCTCTTAGCGAGCCGCAAGTCCGAGTTGCCAGTCACTGTCAGCCTCTTTCTGTCTGCTGTTAGCCTGTTGTGTCGCACTTTGCTTTTCTTGTCTCTCATGCCGGCACTTGTCACCCGCGGGAAATTTGCGCAAATACCGGAGCATGTCACCCTCCGCCACTCAACTGCCTGCCAGATTGTCCCAGATCCCCCTCGGTGATGATGCCGTATATCCAAACAGTTCAGACTAAACCTGCGCGCAATCTAACCCAGGCGGCAAACAAAAGCCCCCCTCCCCCGACGTCACGACAGTACGAAGCAGCCGCATTTCTCAGCGCTCTCGGCATCAACGTGACCACGAACCACAGTCTGGCGTCTGCAAGGTCCAAGGAGGTCCAGCACTAGGAGGTCCAGGTCCCGAGATCGTGCTCTTCCCTGCCGGGACTACCCCACACGGCACATCATCCATGCCAAGCAAGCTTAGTTTGGTGAGGCTCGCCGCTTCCACGGGCTCCAGAGTGTCCAGACTATACTTTGAGAAGCAAAGTGATCGGCCCCCTTTGTTGATTGCGTTCCCTCTTTTCCCACAAATCGTGTGGTGTTTTGACTTTATACATGGGACGGAGCAAGGGACTCTGTCATGATATTGTAGGGGGGTGACCTGGTGATTCTCCTCCAAAGGTTCGCAACAGGCAACTTTTCCTGTCGACAGTCCACTATGCGCCGGTACCGTTCTTTGCCATCCCGTCCCACCCCCCTGAACTGTAAACGAGAGACGGAAGAAGGAGGGGACGAAAGAGGTGACGAAAGAGAGGAGAGACAGAGGGTCCCGGCCACGAGGATATAAAGTCTGCCATGCCTCGGAGCCACTCTGGGGTTGGTCTTGGCTTTTGCTTGGACTGCATCCGACCTTTTTACCTTCTTTTCTAGTCTAACCCTTTTCGTTCCTTTCTTCGATCAAGAATCATGAAGTTTTCCAACATTGCTCTCGGAGCTGCGTCCGTCGCATCGGTCCTGGCGGCCCCCATCGACGGCGCCAAGGAGAAGCGCGCCGACAAGTTCCTCTTCACCGGTGTCAACGAGAGCGGCGGCGAGTTCGGTCAGGGTACCCTCCCTGGACAGCTGGGCAAGACGTACACATGGCCTGACAAGACTGCCATTGATGTAAGAGTGGTTTCGAAACGATGAAGCGGTATGGCAGCTGACTGTTGGTTGGTAGACCCTGAGAGCCCAGGGCCTCAACACTTTCCGTATCGGAACGATGATGGAGCGTATCATTCCCGACAAGTTGACTGGCACGATCAACGAGGCCTACTTCTCTGACCTTGAGGATGTAAGTCTTGAGGCCGGTAGATGATAGAAATACGCATGCTAACCCTTTTGACTGCAGCTCGTCAAGGATGTCACCTCCAAGGGCTCCTACGCCGTCATCGACCCCCACAACTATGGCCGCTACTACGGCAACATCATCACCAGCTCCGCCGACTTTGGTGCGTGGTGGAAGACGGTCGCCGCCCGTTTCAAGGACAACGACAAGGTCATCTTTGACACCAACAACGAGTACCACGACATGGACAACACGCTCGTCCACGATCTGAACCAGGCCGCCATCACCAACATCCGCGCGGCGGGCGCCACGAAGCAGAACATCTTCATCGAGGGCAACTCGTACTCTGGTGCGTGGCACTGGATCGAGAGCGGCTCCGGCGATGCTCTCAAGAACCTCACGGACCCGTCCGACTCGACCGGCAAGCTTCTCTTCTACGAGATGCACCAATACCTCGACACGGACGGCTCCGGCACCAACGAAGCCTGCGTCAGCAGCACCATTGGCGCCGAGCGTCTGGCTGTCGCCACCCAGTGGCTCAAGGATAACAACAAGCAGGGCGTTCTCGGCGAGATTGGCGCCGGTGTCAACACTCAGTGCGAGACTGCTGTCAAGGGTGCCCTCCAGCACCTTGCGGACAACTCTGAGCAGTGGAGAGGTGTAAGTATTTTATTCTCAAAGGTTTCTCCTGGTTTGAACACCGCTAACATCGGAATTACAGGTTCTCTGGTGGGCTGCTGGACCGTGGTGGGCGGACTACATGTACTCCATGGAGCCTACGACTGGAAAGGCGTACGGAACATACCTCCCGATCCTCAAGAGCTTCATCTGAGGCTATTCCGGGGCATCGGAGTGGATACGTACCCTTTATGGAGTGCGCATCGGCGGAAGTGGAACGTGCGGCCGGCGCCACGTGATATCCATGGCGGTGCCGTTGCCGGAAGACTCAGCTACCTTAGTGCCTGTCCGTGGACATGGGTGCTGCTGTCCGATGATATTCTTAATGTAGATATTGATCGTGGGTATCCTGGCCCCTGTTGTACATATCTGGAATATCAAAAGCCCAGTTTTCACTCGTTTTGCCATTGCAATTCTGGTGATCCAGGTGTAGTTGTGGATTTGTGACTTTTGCTACGACAACTGATAATTGCGACCATTTAGAGCAAGGTAATTGTCAACCACGAAGCGATAGGTGAGATATCTCTGGTGCTAGTGTTGGTCTATCAGCGATGCATGACCAAATCTCAGCTGTAAGATGAGGCAAAATGGTAGCTGTCTCAATTAGGCAGGTGGTGGATATGTCTGACAGGATTCCCCACGTTGCAATTTACGAACGTGTCCTCTGTTGGCGTCGCAACTTGCAAGTCTCCCAGTCCGAGTCTCCGGCAAGAGCCCGCAACTTGCAAGAGCCTCCGATTTCGATGGGAACCCAAGAGCGGACGCGGGGAGTCGGACTTGCTACTGTCAAGACTCAGTGGCGTTTTCTCCAAGTTCCCAGCCACTGGATGCGTGGCATGTTGCCTTGGGCAGTCAGTCTGTCGTGTTAGTCTAAGCATCTTTGCTTAGCTGCAGACAACTCAAGAGTTGCAATGTGCCGTCTGGCATCATGTGCTTCAACGGAGACAATAGAGATACAGCACTAATAGACAGATTGATGTCAATAGGACAACATTGTCGGAGAAACAGATACCAAGCCGTGTGATAAAGTTGAGGCTCCTTTTCGCATCACTATCCGTATGGGCTATGGATAAGGTACAGGCAGCACACGCATGCGCAGACACCCTTGCACGACCCCGAAATGAAGACCAAAAAGAGTGCAGCGGAATGCTACAGAAACTGAGAGAGCTTTGGACTAAAAATTGTGCCATTTTGCAATTCGCCATCCCGTAGGCCGCTGGACCCCGAATCGGACCGCTAAGTCCACTGACCACCTAGGTACCTACCTTACTGAGGAGACACCCACCTTGACTGCCGTGGTGCACAGCTAAAAGGTACCTTGTCCAGGTACCTCCACCCCCAGCCAGGCCCAAAGGAACCAACCAACCCACCGGACGGGCGCCGTTTCGACCACCTCACCCTCTCCGAGTTTCTTCCCCATCGCCCCCCCAAAAGACGCCCTCGCCCTCACGCGCTAGACCATTCAAAAACTCGCCAACTCCACGCCGCGCCGTCTTCGCCTCTACATCCTGCCAGCCTCCTCTTCCTGTTATCCTCTTAATAAACCAACCAGCCCTCTCTCTCTCCCTCGCAACCTCGAGGTTCTTCGCCGCCCTCGTCCTCCTTTCCAATCCCTCTCAATCAAACTCCATCAGCTCCCGTCGCAAACCGCCAAAATGGTCAGCCCTCAGATGTACGTTACCTATCCTCCGTTTGCCTTTGTCGCACCGAATCGCATTGCAAATCTCTGATTTCAATGTTTTCTTCCGCGCCTACAACAAAAGACGAATACCTAACTGACAATGCTTCAGCACCAACCTGATCATCATGCTAGGCATGGTGCAGGTCTCCCGCAAGGTCCCCTTCGAAGACCCCAATGTCCTGAACATGTGCCGCGCCGGTTACATTGCCAGCAACATCATCATCGCCATCATCTACCTTTACGTCCAGGCCCAGATCAACAAGAAGAAGGGTGCGTTGCTATATCATCTTGGAGGTTGCTGGAGCAGTCGCTGACAGATAACAGACCTCACCACCCTCAAGTACGTCGAGCCCCCAGCGATGGGCTCCGCCGAGGAGGGCAAGCTCGTCACCACCACCATCCACGCCTACGACACCACTCAGCTCCGCCAGGCCTTCCGTTCCCAGGCCATGGGTATCGCCATGATGGCATTCATGCACATCTACATGAAGTACACCAACCCCCTCCTGATCCAGTCCATCATCCCCCTCAAGAGCGCCCTTGAGAGCAACCTCGTCAAGATCCACGTCTTTGGCCAACCCGCCGCCGGTGACCTCAAGCGCCCCTTCAAGGCTCCCGCCAGCTTCATGCAGGGTCTCCAGAGCGGCCCCGCCGCCAGCGACAAGAAGGCCATTGAGACTGCCGAGCGTGCCGGCCGCGGTGGTGCCAAGGAGGAGTAAATGTCTGCTCGCTATCGTCGCCCGTCGTAGTTGGTATTTGGGGGAAACCGGACAGTCGGACAGTGAACAAAATATAAAATCAAAAAGGAGGGCATCATTGGTTATACAGGAGATGTTTTCGGTTGCAATCAAGGGGCGGTGATATCTTCCCGTACCTACCTGGAGGCAATAAGAGGATACGCTGGCACGAATGGAAAGTAGATTTCCAACACCATGCGATCCTCTCGAAATTGGAGTGGCAAACTCGTCGCGTAGATGCTTAGTCTCGTCAAGATACAGTTCAGTAATCCGCACTCTGTTCGTTTTCACACCATTTCCACCATGACAACTTCTCCTTAATCCGACATCAAACCCCATAGTATCTCTATTTTAGCTCCATTTCGTACGAGTCTGACAGCTCCGGCTCCGCCACTTCCGCCTCCAGTCCCTCTCCTGCCACTTCGGTGTGGCTCGCTCGGTCGCAGCGGCAAGGCACGTGCGTTCGCGACTCCGTTAAGTACTTTCTTAGTAGTGACATAATTGTTCCCTCCAAAAAGTTGCCCCTCCGCGCGCACGCATCTTCACGTCTCCCACTTACAACCTCCATAGCCAACTTTCTGTCTACAACACCACGACGCTCTAGATATTTCGAATCGCTTCCAGACCGACGATCGCCATGGTTCGCCCGTCAACACCACCGCCAAACCCGGCAGCGGCGCCGCTGCCCGCCAGGACCCCTCCAACACCGGCAGCAATCCGTCGCATGGTGAGTGAACGCTTCCTCGAGCCTCGATTTTTCTCGGATTCCCAGGACTAAACGAATTGCCCTCCGCAGGAAGAATCTCGCCTCAAAGCAAAAGCAATCCGCGACCGCCGCGACGCCGAACTCGCCGCCTCGGGCGCAATCCCGACCCCCAAAACCGCATCGGGCTTCGTAGCCACCAATGAAGTCCACATCACCAACGCAGGCGCCTCCCAAGCGACAGACCTCTCCCGCAAACGCCCACACTCGTCCATCTCTACGACAAATCCTGCGGCAGCCACAGGCGCAGAATCACATCCATCAACGAACCGCGATGCCCGCGACACAAACGCCGCCCCGCGCCCGGCGCGCAACTTTGCCAAATTCGTCGACTACAACATGTCCGCCATGACAGACACAAAAGGCGGCTTCCTCACCGCAGAAGACGACCCGCACAACACGGCCCTCGTGCCCAAAGTAAAACCCGGCGGCCCGCCCCAGGAAGAGAAACCAAAAGGCATGACCTCGCAGGAATGGGAACGGCTCCAGCTCCTCAAGAAACTCCGCCGGCAGAAAGCAGGACCCTTTGAGCCGGGCCTCAGCGTCCTCGCCGACGCCACCATGCGCAAAAAGTGCGCCGACTGCTCCTCGTACGAAATCGACTTTGCCTGGAACGAGATTTTCGGCATCCAGGTCTGCAACGTCTGCAAGGACAAGTTTCCCGAAAAGTACTCGCTCCTCACAAAGACGGAGTGTAAAGAGGACTACCTCCTCACCGACGAGGAACTCAAAGACGCCGACCTCCTCCCCCACCTCTCGCGACCCAACCCGCACAAGTCGCACTGGCACGACATGATGCTGTTCCTCCGCTTACAAGTGGAAGAATACGCCTTCACCACGAAATGGGGGTCCGCAGAGAACCTCGACGCGGAGTTTGCAAAGCGCGAGGCCGACAAGAAGAGGCGCAAGGAAGCCAAGTTTAGGGACAAACTCAACGATCTCAAGCGCAAGACCAGGACCGAGGCCATCCGCAGACAGCAGGCCACCACGGCCGCCGGCGCGGGGCCGAGAAAGTTTGGAGACTCTGTCGGTGGCGGGAAGCACGTTCACGATTGGGGTCGAGCGGTTGAAAACGAGGAGGGCATGACGGTGAAGAAATGCAACGGATGCGGCATGGAAGTCGAGGAGTTGGAATTCTAGCACAACGTGCTTGGTGTCATTTAGCAAGACCTTCCTTCCTTTCATAGCAGCGACGGCAACCTTGATTTTCATGACAATTAGTCTTAATACCCAAAATCATACAATCATCTATTCTCTTCACCCGTTAAAAAGCTATGTACGAAGAAAACCGAGACCGCTGTCCAGAGTCCACTAAACAACAGCAAGGAAAGGGGGGGGGGGGGGGGTTGGGTTGGGTTGATTTGGTTTAGTTCGGTTTGGTGAAGTGTGAGTGAGGGTATCGACGTGTGATGAACAATAATGATGCCCCAGTACAGTATTACAACAGAACGCGGATCGGCCGCGCCAGTCCACGCACGCCCCTTATCCTATTCCATTCATCCCCTCGTTTTCTGTTTCTTCTCTATTCGGCCCGCGAGCCCACTGCTGCAGCCAAAATGCCCCGAGAGTCTTATACTTCATGCCCAAAAAAACAAGTTGAAAAGAAAAACGTCCCAAAACACCCACTTCTTCTTCTCTCATGCCTGGACACAATCAGCTCGGAGAGCAGGCCATCTTTTCAGACATCCATCCCATAGTAAGTAATGACCCAAAGACGACGCCATTTCAACGGACGCTATGCTGGTGCTGTTGTTGTATATTTTCTTCCCTCCCTGTCCCTCTCTCTTTCTCTCTTTCGGCCGACACCTCCGCCGTCTACCGCGCAAACACCTTGACCACGCCATCTCCACCACCGCTAACAACCCACTTGCCGTCTTGACTCCAAACGACGGAGCAGACGCCTTCGCCGCGCATGATGCGGTGACTCGTAATCTCCTGCGTGCAGGATCGCTTCTCGAGACTCCAGAATCGCAACGAGGCATCGTGCCCTGCGCTGACAAGCTCGCGGCCGTCTGGACTGAGTGAAAGGCCCGAAATCGATGCCGGGTGTGCCAGCATGTTGTAGGTACATTGGCCTGGGCATTCAATCAGCATTTCATCTTCGCACGCGTTCGACTTTCGTGACTTACCGCTGTTGGCATCGAAGAAGCGGACGAACCGGTCCTCGTGTCCAGAGATAATGACGCCCTCAACTCCAGATCCTGCCATGGATCTGCCTCCTCCACCGGTTGGCCCACCGCCGGCACTGCTGTCTTCTTCGGACAATCCGCCCTGAGGCGGCTCCAAACCGACAGTTGTCGCAACGACAGCATTGACACTGGTGTTGATTGAACTGTCATATGTCTCAGAGCTGTCCATTGTACCAGTCTGTTCACCTGTCCGGGTATCGTAGACGAGAATGGCTGCGTCGGAGTAAGACACGACAAATGTGTCACCGCTAGGGCTGAGGGAAGTGATGCATGTAGGGCTAGCGTCAGAGCCATCCGGCCTCTTAATGTTGTGGACGAGCGTGTGGTTGAAGGGAGAGCTCGATGCCATATTGGGCTGCGGAGTGCTCGAGAAAGCACTTCCAGAGCTCATCGAATTACCGCGGATGCGGCCTCTGCTGCCCGTTGGACCGGCTCTGTTCGTTCCCGGCTGAGGCGAGGTCAACTGAGGTGGTGCACTAACGGACCACAAACGGACAGATCCATCGGCGCCGCCAGATACGAGCAGGATGCGATCGGGGCTTCCATACTGGCTGTTCTGGCCAAAGACAGCGCCAAGCGTTGTCGGCAGCACGCACAACGCCCAGACGGCGTCAGTGTGGCCCTCGAGGGTAGCCTTGGGGTCGACTCTTCCACGTTCCCATACCCTGATGGTGGCGTCCTGACCACCGGAAAAGATCCAGCCGTCACCTTGGGCGCGGCCACCGGTGGAGAAGTTTGGCGAGGGCGACCAGGATGTCAAACAGAGCACGCCTCCGGCGTGGCCACGATGAGAGAAGTTAGCTGTCACGTCGAGATCTGACGCAGCATTGGTCTGGCCGTGGTTGTCGGCACGGGGAATGTGGAACCGCTTGATCATGCCATCATCGCCTGCTGTGCAGATCTCGGGTTCTCCAGGGCTGCCACCGCCAGAGAAGATAACGGTGCGTACGGTGTCCAGATGGCCTCGCAGTCCGAAGCGCAATTTGAAGTTGCCCGTCTCTGCCTTTTGAGCAGCCGAATTCAATGACAGCTCATGGTCTGCACTGCGTCTACGCGACATTGATCCTTTGCGGCGATGAGAGCTCGGTCCACGGTTGGGCGACTTTGGGAGGTTGTCTGCAGTGGGAAATGCGTCGGTATCGGGCCTGTTGGTGATGTGTTGTAGAGATTGCGACGAGTTGCCATCAGCGAATGATCCGTCGGAGAAATCCCAACCGTCGGTCTCAGGAGCAGGTCGGCTAGGTTGAGACTCTTCCGTTGATTCAACGCTACTGATGGACTCAACGGCATGGCTAGGTCGTTGCATGTTGTCGTCGAGCATACGGCCAGTCGCCGACATTGGCTGAGGCCATTCGGTGCCAGCGGCGTACATGACAGGAGGTGCAGGCTCCTGGGCCGGGGGTGGAATTTGCTGTTGGTGGTGCTGTTGCTGTGGTTGATGATGCTGCTGCTGTTGTTGTTGCTGTTCGACAGGTTTGACTTGGAAACTCGTTGGTTGACTTCGCTGCATCGGGGGTGCATGGTTGGGAGCGGGAGGTGGGCGGTTGGCTTCGCGGACGTGGTTTTGCGGCACAAGAGACGATGAAGCAAAGGGGAAGGGCGGCTCCTGGAATGGCTTACCGCCAGGTACGCCAAACGGCTCGCCTTCGCGCAAGTCTTCGAGTATCGGGAGAGGGGGTGAATCTCGTGGGGGTAGAGGATTCGCCGGGGTAATCATCAGATAGGTGAACTCAGCCTGGCACTGGTCCAGGAAAGACTTGAGGTCGGCCCGTTGCGATTCATCGTCGGCTTTATCCACGTCGAGTTCGCCACCATGGGCATCGTATGGTTTCTTGGAGGAAGCTGCATGACACTGTTAGCTGATGCTCCATCATGGATAGAGGCGAGGACTCAAAACTCACGTCGGAGCTTCTCCTGGATCAGGGCAGCGCGATCCTTTTCGGCCTTTACAGCATCGGCACCCGCTTTGGCACCTCCCTTCAGCTGTGTAGCCTGGTCTTTAACCTTCTTTTCGAGAATGGCGACGTATTTCTTAAGTGCCTTTTGAGTTGCGTCGGCCCTTCTCGCCTGGCCTTCGAGGGAAGCTATCCTCGCCTTCATCTCCTGGCGGTCAATCTCCCAAGCATTCCTGTCCCGCTCGTGACGGTGCCATTCGGTTTGGAGGAAGCGCATAACACCTGAGACGCATCGAAGTCAGTACAAAAGAACGAAGGTATTCCACGATCGCGTAAAGCAACATACCCTGCAGCGTATACTCGGTCGCATGAGGCTGGTTGCCGCCGTTGCCCTGCATCGCGCCGCCCATTTCGTTTCCTCCAGGCCCGCCCATGCCGTTGCCTACGTTCGACCCCATACCCGGAACCACCTGCCAGCTCATACGCGCACAAGGGGGGACTGGTCCCCAACGGGCAGCTCAGCACTGCTGTCAAATGTGGGAGGGGGTTGATGTGAGGTGCAGAAATCGTCTCGTCGGTAGTCGTCAAGCCGTCGGGATGGGTTCTTTCTCTCGGATCGTCCCGCTAGGTGCAGCAGTCTGCGCGCCTTTGTATCGTCTCGAGGTGATGACGGTGCGTCGTCGTTACATCAAACGAGAAAATGTCAAAGGTATCGGCGGCGACTCGTCGAGGAGCTGGCGCAGCGGTCTTTGCCGTCGTGGTCGTCGTGTCGTGTCGTCGTGAGGTGTGGAAAAGGTGGTCGTTAATCCAAATCCAGGTCCAAAGCCCCTAAAGCGGTGGTCGGAGCTGTGCTTGTGCTGTTGGCGTTGGCACCCCTGGTCAATTCAATTGGAGCTCTCTGCCCGTCTGTCGCGTCGGCGTCTGTCCGTATCTGTACTCTGGACGGTCGGGTGCACCTGAGAATGCTGAGGTAAGGTACTTTGGAGTGAAAGAGTCGATGTACCTCGCTGCAAGTCGGAAGTACACTTTGTCAAACGCAATTGGCCGAGTCGAAGGGGCGGAGAAACTACGTGTTGGATGGCTACGTTTTAATGCAATGCAGTAGGAGCTATTCCCCCAAGAATAGAAGAATGGAAACTTTGGTATGATGAAAAATGGCACCTTGGCTATAGAGGTGACAGCAGAGATTTCGGCGTCACTTCACTTGAAATTGGCTCGCTGTTGAAGTAGGTTAAGGTACCCAAGGTTGGTTCCAGTTGCTTTTCTCGTGAAAGACAATGGAACCTAAGCACCAACAAACAGCAGGAGCGAGAGCCAGCAGTCGCTGCCCACCTCAGGTGCTTCTCTCTCCCGTCACCTGTGACCTGTCTGGCTTTGAGGTTCCTTCCTCTGTTCAAACTTCAAGGTAGGTGGGTACGTACCTGACTTTACTGGCTCCTGCGGCCACGGGGCAGGCGCTGTGCTGTGCTGTGTGACTCGAGCTTTCCCCCCAAAAAAAACTTGAGCACAGGTGTCCTGCTCTTGCCGCCAGCCACTTGTCCAATCAGACATCGTCCAAGAGGGTATGAGGCTGTCAGGCATCAGGCCCTGCAAACATGCAAGGTTCTGCCGTCTCTTCAGGGGCACAGGCCACATTGCTGCATCTTGAGGATTATGTAACACATTGAACCTGGTCCTGATACGCCTTCTTATCTGAGGTGCGGATAAGGTAGTCTGCTACCGCATGCTTCCATTGCTTCCATAAGGTAGAGACAACAAGGACAAGCTTGACTCCTCACATCCTCAAAGTCTAGGTGTCCGATGGACCTGGGTTGAAAATGCCGGTGTGTTTGGACTGATTCAGTATCCAAGCCAGACCAGTCTCCGCGTCGTGGCAAGCAAACACCCTTACACTCCATTTCACCTCTCATCATGTACAGTCACACAACCAATACACCAAGCTAGATCACGCCTTGATATTCCTGTCTAAGACGACGAGGTAACGTCCCAATGGAATCATCCAACCCCAAGAATACTACAGACTCTGGGTCGACGTCCAAACGCCCTCGCTCCTAAGCCTTGTTTTCTTTTTGGTTCGTCCCAACACCCAAGCGTACCCCTTATTACAACGGAAGGAAAAAAGAGAAAAGAAAAGTTTTGGGAATCTTGTCCACCATCCATCCACACGCAGATCCATTGGAGCCCAAACTACTCCATTCGCATGCCTGGAAATACGCCTCCCATGGAAAAACGTATTCACAGACCCCATTCTTCCAAATGCCAAAGAAAACGCAGCCATATGTGCACTGAGGTATCGACCGTCGGCTATCTTGCCCACCCATTCTTCAGGAGACGCATCTCCCCCACATCGTACCCATGCCTCGTAGCAAGGCCTTCCTGCAAATGTGTATGCTGTCGAAATGTCTTATGTACTTGATATCGTCATGTCGTCATCAGGCCAGGTGTGAGATATTCACTTTCAACTGTCTGCTTCCTAAGCGTACTGCTGCTCGTCCTGGCAGGCGTCAATCACCCGCTTCGCGTTAACAATGATCTGCGAAAGATTCTTGAGAACCGGGTCGTTGCCCGAAGTGCTGCTAATGCGAACGAAGAGACCCTCGACGCGGGCCACCAGCATACCCATAATCTTTGGTGTAACCGCACGAGCATCGCCATCCTAAACATCTGTTAGCAGCGAATCATGAAAACTAGCATTAAAATTACTCACCATTTCGCCGAGCGAGACCTGAAGGCTGTGGACAACCATCTCGAGCCAGGCGATTCTCTCGCGAGTGTATGACTCCAGGTTCAGACTGACCGTAGCAGTTACGGTCAGGAGAACGAGATGCGGCAGGTTGCGCACAAACTCAGGGCTGTACTTGGACATGTACTTTTCGAACACTTCTTGCTCACGGCCAGACTGCATCCAGCGGACGACGGCCTCCTCGGCTCTGCCCTCCTTCATCGGCTGGTTGACGACAGCAATACGAGCTTGGAGGTCGGCATCGTACTTGTTGTTGGACTTGGCCACCGTGAGAGCCTGAGAATGGCCGCTGTAGCTCATGGAATGCTGCGATGCCCTGTCGGGACTCTGCAGGTTGCTGTAAGCCTGGCTCTGCATGTGGCTGGGAACCTGGCTGGGAACTTGGCTGACAACAGAAGGAGCGTAGGAAGGAGCTTGCTGGTGATGCGGCACCTGTTGAGGCTGCTGCTGCTGGGCCTGGGCCTGCACACGAATCATCTGCTGCTGGAACTTGAGGAACTCGTTCTGGAACTGCTCCTGGGACGCCGCCATGCTGGAGATCGTGCCAGTAAGACGAGTCACGATGGCGGACAGCTGATCAACCTTGTTGCTTTCGGCGAGACGCTGAGCGTTGAGATTCTCCATTTCGGTGCGGTGCTGCTTCTGGAGTTCGCCGGCCACGCGCTGGCAGGCCTGGGTTGCCATGTTGGTGAAGGAGGGGCCCAGACGAGAGGTCAAAGTGCTCACGACCTCTTGCTGGACGTTGGCCGCCACCGTAGCCCCGACTCTGTCCGAGATGGCCTTCACAAAGTCGCCGTTCTGCAGGGCGTGCTGGGTCGCGGAAGGAAGGGCCTTGTGGATCTCCTTCTGAACAGAGTGCGAAACTTGGTTGTTCATACTCTTGGTAAACTGGTCAGAAACAGCCTTGCCGGCGACGTCAGCAATAGCGGGGATGACCGCATTGCTGAACTGTTCCTGGATGAGGGCCTCCAAAACCTTCTGGGTGTTCTCGTTGAGGACCTCCGAGACCATGTTGAGGAGCTTGAGCTGGCGGTCGTCGAAGTCGGCCTCGCGGGCACGCAGACCCTCGTCAATGCGGCCGTGGAGCGTCTTGAACGACGAATTGAGCAAGTTGTTGAATCCGTTCTGGAGGCGAGTCTCCATGCTGCTGATTGCTGATTCGACAGACTCTTGGGTGATGGAGTTTGAGCTGGAGTTGTTGCCGGAAGACTTGCCGGAGTCCTTGGAGTTGTTGTTGTTGTTGCTGGAAGGACCAACACGGGGTGAGCCATTGGTCTGCTCGTTGCCGGCGGCAGCCGCGGCGGCCGCTGCGGCAGCTGCTGCTGCTGCAGCCTTCTTCTTGCGGCTCTTGCGCTCCTGCTTCTCTTCCTTGACAGGGGCAGGAGCGGGAACGGGCGTCTCCTCCTCCTTTGACTCCGCCTTGGCGATCTTGACTGGCGTGACAGACTCGGGACCGCGGCGAGGAGCATTGTCATCGTGAGAAGGCGTGGTCTGCAGAAGGGAGTCCTTCGCAATGTTGCGAGCCGAGGGGTGGGCACCTTCGGCATTTTGGTGGTTGGGCTCGGCGGGCTGGCTGGCAGGGGGCTTCAGCTTCGAAATAGTAACGACCCCAGCGTCAACAGCATCAACGGGTGCCAGGACCTTGTTGTCCTTGGTCCAGCCGAGCTCGGCTTGCTTGATCAAAAGACATGCGACTCCCTTAGAGTGCATGGCGTAGAGCTCAAATAGAGTCGGCTCGTCGGTCTCCTGAGCCATGGCGGGGTTGCAGAGAATGTCGAGACTGCGCAGGATGCCACGGTTCGCAAACGAGTACTCACGAACGCCGCTGATAACGGCAGTCGAGTCGGGCGCGGGGATGGTGGTGTCCTGGGCAACCAAACGCTGGATGTACTCCACCTGCGAGACGCTCTTCAGGTTGTACTTAGGAGCCGAAAGATGCGCAAAGTAGATGGAGTTGCGGGTAGGGTGTCCGATCACCAGCATACCAGTGGGAGGATGGTACATGACGCTGCAGACGGCGTCAGATTCCTTGGTGTGGGGGAGATTGAACTCCTGTACAGGCTTGCCGAGCGCGAGATCCCAGAGTTGCAGAGTGTGGTTCTGCTTCATTCCAATGATCATGTAGCGCAGAGCGCAGCGCTTCTGGTACGGGCGAAGCTTGTCAACGAGGAGGACGGACGTGGGCCACGCCTTCTCGCCCTCGGGAGTGCTGGTGAGGGTCATGAGAGGCTCCTTCACCTCAAGTGAAGTGTGGGCGGGAATGGGCGCACGGGGGTCGCTGCCCTCCTTGGCGGCGGTCAGGTCACGGACGTCCCAGAATTTGACACGTCCAGACTTGTCAAGAGACACTATCACGCTATCGTCCTGACTGAACGTGAAGTCTTTACCGGCCTTACCAGTATTGATCTTCAACGAACACTGCTTAGCCAATCTCTCCGTGTCGACGACGCGGTCGTGGCCAGGCTTGAACAGGTTGTTCTGCATGATGTATGTGGGCCAGATGATGTTGATGGACTTGCCGCGGCCAACGGCGAAGAACTCGGGGTGAATGGTCGAGGTGCGAGCACGGGTCTTGAGAACGCCGCCAGGGGCATCGCCACCTTCGTGGGAAGCCATAGGAGGCAGAGCGAAGCCGTACTGCTCAGGATGGGCGTCCTCAATGTGGTCTTTTTCGCCACTCTTAATCTGAACCCAGTAGACAGTGCCAGTGATGCCAGTACCAATGATGGCCTCGCGATGGATGCCCGTGTGGTCAGTGGGAGTGACGGACATGGCGACATTGAAGATGCGGTCCTTGGTGTCGGTGAAGATCTTGGCGTCCTTGCCGTCGTCTTGCCTAATGACGCGGAGACCACCAGCCTTGGACATGCCGTAGGCCATGTAGTTCTCGGTGGCAGTGTAGAGGTTGCGGTCGATCTGGTCGAACTCTTTCTTGAGACGAGCAATATCCATGATGGCTTCGTCTCTGAACTGAGGTCGAGGCTCGGTAGCGCTGTCCTGCAGAGCAATTGAGATCCAAGGCTTCATGGGGAAGTTGAAGACCTTGACGGGAGCGGGAGTTTCCTCCTCAATCACCACAATCTCGTCCTGGTCGGCGCTCTCCCAGCTGTCGGCGACGGCATGGCTCGCAGCCTCTTCGATGATCTCGCGAACCTCATCAGCCACCTCGGCGGAGACAACCTTTTCGAGGAGGTCTCTATTCTCCTCGCGTTCGAGCTCCTTCTTGATGGCTTGAGCAGCATGGTGGGCGCTCTCCTCAAACTCCCTCTCGGTACGAGCGGCCTCCATGTCTTCAAGATCCTGCATGTACTCTGGCCGCGACTGCTCTTCCTCAGCGCGGGCCAGAGCTTGCTGGGCCTCGTAGTCGGCTTGCTGGGCAATATCGTGAATTGCTTCAGAGACCGTCTCCTTGTTCTTCTCGGCAGGGATGCTCGCATACGAGGCAGTGGAGCCAGGCGTAGGGTTGGCTAGCTTGTCTGCAGGGGAAGAACCGTGTCCGAAGCTGTGGCGAAGGCGCTCGGGGCTGGCGAGGGGGCTACGATGCTCGTTGACGATGCGCTTAGACTCGCTTCCATGATGGGAGTGATGAGAGCTCGGCGAGTCGTGAGCCTTTTTGAGGATCTGGAAAGCCGGACCAGCAGGTGACTGGCCAGACGACTGAGGTGGGGCGATTCCCGAGATGGAACCAGTCTTGGGGGTTCGATTGTGCGGCGAAGTGATTTGAGAGTCGTCGAAGCTGCTGCCGTTGTGGTTGGCATTGTAGCCATACTGCTGCTGGTGCTGGGCGACGTGAAGATTCGAATCTTGGGTGGGAGGGAACGAGTAGGTGCCATAGTTGCCGCTCGATTGAGCGTAGCTGTTGGGGTCGTACTCGAACGAGTTGGAAGCCATGTGGGACAAGTTGGGAGCTTGACCAGCTTCAGCAAGCACCCTGTGAAGGATGTTTTCGCCCGCCTGAGGGGGGTTGGAACGGGTGGACTCGGACAGAAGCAAGTCGTTCTGACTAGGCTTCGGGCGGTTCAGCAAGTTCAAGAGATAGGCGCGCGTATCGTCGGGGGGCGACGATGCGCCAAAAGTCGAGAAGGAGCCGTTTTGAGGCGGCTCGGGACGCGACTCCTCGCCATCGTGAGCTCCTTTCATCAGAGCGGCGAGCAGGCCGGTAGGGTCGGCCGGGGCGCGGGCGGGTGCGACGATCTGCGTCGGGATAGACGAGGGCATCGACGAGGACGAGTCACGGCCTTGCTGATGAGGCTGAGGCTGTGACTGGTGGGGCTGATGCTGCAACTGTTGATGCTGGTGATGCTGCTGCTGCGGTGACTGTTGGTAGTGGTGCTGCTGGGCTTGCTGCTGCTGGGGAGACTGTTGCTGCTGCTGTTGCTGCTGCTGCTGATAGCCTTCCTGGCGAGCCTGCGCAGCCGACGCACTTCCCACACCGCTGAACTTGAGCAAATTCAGCAAATTGTTGCTGCGATCGCCATTTGAGGGCATACTGCCACCAGGGGGTGTCGGTGCTGGGGGCATGGGAGACACCATGATGGCGCCCGGAGATGTGAGAGATTTTGGGAAGGGAAAGAGGATGCAGAGAGGAAGCGAGGCAAGGGACGTGATCCGACGAGGGAAACGAAGGACAATTGACGAGCAGACCCTTCCGTCGTTACACGAAAATGTGTTGATTTTCTTGCGAATTGAGGTTTTGAGGGAGGAGGAGGATGGAAGAGGAACGGTGAGGTGAAGGTGAAGGTGAAGGTATGGGATATCGAAAATAAATTTTGGGACGGAGAATGGAAGGATGGGAGAGGCTGGCGGCGCTGGAATTCCTGAGAGCCCAACCTAAAGGTGGCACAACCTTGTAGCGCGCAGAAGAGAGCAAGGAGCAAAGAGCAGGGGGGTGACGTGGTTGAATTTTGAGAGGAAGGAACGTTCTCTGTGCTTTCCGTGCTTTCCCCAGGTGGTCTGGACGGAAGCAACAAAGGCCCGGCGCGTCTTTGCAGCTATGGAAGGTACATACCTAGCCCAGGTAAGGTACCTGAGGTAAGACAGCCTGGACTGCTGGAGGTGTCTGAGGCGGTGCGGGAAGGAACTTGGAAGGTGCGATTTGCCTGCGGCCACTCGATTTAGCGCAACTTTGGGCCCGGGTGTCTTGGGGGTCCTTCAATCGGTGGTGCCTTAGTGCCAGCGCGGGTGCTGTTTGAGGCAATTGGGAGGTGAGAGGTTACTGTTCCTGGCCGGGGAAGCTTAGGTAATGGAGGTACATATCTTTCTTTGCCCTGGGTTTGCAGAAGAGCTTGGGTGCCACGGTGCTGAGGTACTAGGTGCTGCGAGTCCTGCTGTTGCTGGCCAGGCGGCGGCCATGGGTGCTTGGGTGCTACTGCTTGGGCAGACCGGCAGGATGCAGCTGGTCTGTGCGCTACGTGGCGGACGACGTGGGGACGTGCCACTGGTGGTCTTTCCTCCCCGCTCCCACTGCTCCCACGGCTCCCACAGGTACAGATTTTGGAAGGGTTACCTAATCATCAACCGCCGTGCCGCCCAAGACCTGATGCTTCCCTCAGTGGAGGGCAGCGACGGCAGCCCGAGAGAGAGCTCCCCGGTAATTAAGCTGCTTGCAGAATCGGGTTCGTACATTTCCTGACGTAAGCAAATCTCCAAATGCCTGTCCTGAGACCCCCAGACAGTCAGACAGAAATACAGAGAGAGAGAGAGAAAGGCGGCTGTCGACTGCACCAGATCTGCACGAAACCAGTGAACGTCCCTTTTTTATTTTCCCGTCTATTTCGACGCCATCCCGCCTTGCCTTGCATTCCACGACATTGCCAGATTGGAACAACCCGGGCACTGGCTGCTGGACCCAATAACCTTTTCGCTGCCTCCAGCTTGCAACCGAACCACGAGATCATTCCTTGCACTGGACCCCTTGCCGAATCGCGTGCAGTGTACGGAGTACTGATACGATACCTTGGCCCAACTGAACCCTTCCAAGTCGTTTGCGATTACCTTACCTTAGGTACACAAACACTCAAGACACAACATCTCGCAACTCTGCGCTGCTCGCGAACCAGTTGAACCAGCACTTGGACTCTCGGAACGCTCTCAACGTCCACTGATTCGACGGCGCGTTGAAAGAAGCACTCAGCCTGGGGAACCCCCCTCCCCTCCCGACGCCAGCAACCTTTCAGGGATCCCACGTCGCCTTCATCTACGTCACGGCCCTTTCGCATACCCGGCACCATGTTCTGTTTACGGAGGTGAGAATCATGGAGCAATTCCTTGAGCCATCGTAATTGTCCCTGCTGACGACTTCCACAGCTGGCTCCCGCTCCTCTTTATCCCGACCAACGCCTCGCCGGCCTTCATCTTCCTCTTCTTCATCTGCACCTATTTCCTCAACCGGCCCTGCGTCTACTGCAGCTTCCTGCTCTTGATCCTCTTCCTCACCTCGTGCAACTGGTCCGACCGCTGCTTCTTCGACTTCAGCAGCAACTGGTTCCAACCCCGCCCGCCTACCTCCCTCCCGCTCCCCGAGCTCGATCCGAATACCAGCTTCAACGCCTCCGTGGTGGAAGTCATCAACTCGACAGCCAGCGCTCTGGCCGGGGCTGCGGCTGAAGAACTCGCGCGGCAGAGACGGGAGTGGACGGGTTTGGGCATCGAGTGGCTGCGTAGTCTGCTGGGCCGGAGGGAATGGCGGGTCGATTGCCTTGACATCAACATCCGCTTGTAGGCGATGTTGCCGTCAGGCTGTGCGAAGGGAATGAGTGTTCATGAGTAATGACTGCTTGCGACGTTAGGAAAAGACGGCACGATAATAGGGCAGGAAAATGGACAGGCGGTGTACCACAGTGGTCCCCAGGTGCATTCCAGGGCGTTTTTATATTGTACATGGTGCGTGCCGTGTGAAATAGAGCACCGGGCTTTTTTGACACTAGGCTTTTCGAGGGTTTGTTTTGCCCGTATAGAACAGAACGATTGTGCTCCGTAGGGTCATTCCTTTCAGCACTAGGTATATAAATGTATTCAACACGATACCAAGCAAATCCGAACTCCGCGCCGCCTTCCAGCTTGACGTGTCTGGAGAAGCTTAGCACTCACGTCTTGAAAGCTACATCCTAACAGTCGCGGTACTTCATCCGGATATCTTGCTCGTGGTTCGTCTCCTTCCATCTCTAACGCGAGTGTACCATAGCCGGGGAAGCAAACAAGAAGTCAAGTGCAAGCGCGGCGGATGCGAGCCTTCTATTGCATGAAGTTACTATATTGTATCTTGTGTCGTCGGGTGATAAGGTAGATAGTACCGATGTACTCGGTGCCCTGCCCGCCTTTATTCCCAAAATATCCTTACTCCCTCGTACTATTGATGACTGCCTGTCTCATGGCGTCCGTTTCAATCTTGCTCACTGTTGGGAGAAGACACAAGGTATGAACATAGGAGATGAAGGTCATGCTGATAATGATGTTCAACTCTGACTAGACGTTAGCGATCCAATTGAGCACTTCTCGTGGTGTTGAAAGCCAGTGTGGTAAACAGATGTGGCTCATCTAAGCAGGAACCCAGAACACGATCTGTACGACTGCTCGTGAACGTGTTTATACTTCAGTCATGGCACATCAAAGCCATTTTGACGATTCCAGTTCGACGATGGCGTCTCTGTGAGACCAAGCTCGAAGCTGCCGTCCGATTCCAAGCGATAAGGCGACCTCTGAGCCATGATGATGATGATATGTGTTTGACCAAACCGTCCGGCACTTATCGAGATCTACACTTTTTTTGAAAACATGGAGTGGGATATTAGATACCATGTGGGCTACTTGCCTCCGGAAAACACTGACGGAATTGAATCTAGCCGAGCCTGCCTGGTAATTCAGAGATAGAACGAGGTGTATCTGCGCTGCTTCAATATCATTCCATACATAGTTGGTCGTAGGAGAACGAGAGCCTGCTCAAGAAGACCTTCTGTATTAAAAGCTACTAGCATGCTTAATGAAATGGCTAGCAATGCTGCACACTGGGGCCAGTCTTCGAGGTACTGAATTATTGAACATATTGAACGGCATATGCAAAAAATATCGCCATGAGGTAGCCCGAGTTAAGACCCGACTCGGTAAGTTCAACTACCCAAGATCCGTTTCTGGAGTAAAACTCCGGTTTCGATACCAGTACTGCTGAATCTTAACAGACGCGTTGGGATGAAATTGTCATGTCATGGCCCAAAGTCAAAGTAGGGTGAATTCATTTATCAAAGTTGGCAACAAGCGGGTTCATAGATGGGCGAGGAAGAGTGAAACACTCCCACCGTGAAAAGCTGAGAAGCAAAACTTCGTTGCTCACTCGCGTTTGGAATTGACACCTCCTATCTAGTAAAAGAAGGTTGGGAGAGGCATCATGGGATGTTATGGTACCTAGGCAGGCAGCCTGCCCCTAGCCTGCCAGGACATTTTTTGAGACTGCTTGATGATGAAATCATAACACGACTACCTCTCCGCAAAGCTACTGATAGATGGAACCCTGGCGTGAGCCCGAGGAACCCCTGTGAATTTCTGAACGTTGAGTTAAAGAGGATTCATCACATCCCTTCAATGTTCATTTTACATATACGCAGTCCAACTCTTCGAAGCTCTGAATATTATACAACTAAAGCTATTGCTTTGCGACGAAGTCCACGCAGCCTTCGAGTTTGGTATTTACATCTAGAAGGACATGCGGACCCGTTGAGAGACTTTGTCTCCTCCGTTGGGAGGCATACGATGGAATAAATATACGAAAGACTTTGAAGGATCTGGGGAGCTTTTTAACTTCTTCGATTCGCAGGCAAGACAACCCATGTCCAATGTGATTGTTTAAGGACGATGGATATCTTATACCATGATCGAGATATACTTCAGTGTCTGTCAGCAGCAAGAATAGTCTACGTCATATTTGCCTGTCGATTTATGCTTATGCAGTATCCAAAAGACACCGTCATCCAATGCCAGCAGCGGTTAACACTAATAGACTAGAGAAACCTCGCCTGATGCCCTGGGTTACATAGGTAGGTACTCCGTAGTATACGGATGAGCGGCAACTGCCGGATGTCTGCCTTTGTCACGGATCAAAGAGCCGAGCAAACAACATGGCGACCCACGTGCGGATACATAGCCGTTTGCAACCAAGCCTCATGAAGATTTGATGTACTTATCGCTTGTTGGCGAACTTTTCTCTCGAGCACACGAAGCTCTACAAAGTGCCAAAAGAGGTTTACTAGCTATAACAACTGAAGGCTGAGGAGCTAAGGGCATCCCACTTGGCACCTTTAGCAAGCCTTGAGGCTTCGTCAAATAAGCTTCATACTGACGTGGGCGGCTGGCGATGAGGCAGTGCTTGGCCAGTGATCAGTACATGCCTACTTCAGTCAATACAGCCGGTTTAGATGTTCACCGTTGTAGACAGTAGAGCCAAGCCGGCAGTCAAATTCGGGCGGCGTGGTGTCAGCGTGATGTGCCGTACCGATTTGGGGACCAGGAATAGACTTTGGACAAGCATAACCATCAGTCCCGAGGCTTAGTATCCCGAACTTGGAAGCACTGACGAGTTCTCAATTAGAGTTTACCGCGTTTCCGGGTCAGGGAACGAGGACCGATCGACCGGTCGTCTTGAGAACGGGCAAACGGGAATCATCATGGATCAGGAGGCCGGAGGAGCTTGCGCGGTCGCCGTAAGAGGCGCGGAAGGCCGGTAGGGCGGGGCGGACCTGGATGTTTTCGTCGCGGAGGCGGTGCCGCCGACGAGTCCCGGGACTCGGCCCTGCCCACATTACGGCGCACACGTCAACGGCAACACCGGGCAATTAATATCGATCATGGTGATGTGCAAGCTTGCATCGGGTTGTGGCGCGATCCCTCTCAATGAGTGGATGCTTGGCGTCAGCTTTTCGCCATTTCTGCCCAGGTTGTGTGTCGTGTGAGTGACCACCCGTTTGAGGAGAATGATTTCTAGTCTTCTTGTCAGTCAATGATACTCCAGGCTCTTCCTTGAACAATGGACCCCGGCCGAGAGCCTCTAATTGAGCCTCGCCCTCTTACGATGATGCTTATCTGCATTTGGAGGCGAACCTTGCATGAGCGGTGGGGCAGATGCGATGAGTGCGAGTGCAGAGGCAGAGGACGGAGTATGTATTCGTACGCATACCCAAAGTCTCTCCACTTTCAGCAATGTCCAGGGTCTATTCGTAGCTCAGCGTCTTGGACCATGTCCAGACTCCAAAGTCCTGGTCAGTGGAAGAAACGGTTGATGAAGAGCATTCTCCAGTCGCTGCGGAAATAGAAACAGTTTGGGCGAGAGCATCTCGAAGGATTCCGTCAGTTTGATTCAGGCATTCCTTCTCTTCGCCCGACGGTTGGAAGACTGAGACAATTCGAGGGCGTGTGTTCAGTCGGGAGCGCCGGCAGACGGCCAAGACAATGCCAATTCTCCCACCACCAACCATAACGCTTTGCGAGATCCCCAGCCTTTTTTGTCTGGAGAGAGAGACAGGGTCGTCTTGCTGACGCCGTACGAAGTAGAGGAGACCGACCGTACCAAAGTATCACAGCATCACTATCCGTAACTAGGATCTGTATCTGTAATTCTGTATAAGGATGGGCATGGCAATCCGTACCAAGGCTGTATCCGTATCCGTATCTGTAGTGGTTTGTTGTTGGTCTTGTTTGGCCGTTTCGGCGCCGAGGCATGCAGCCACAATTGACTGCAGACACGAGGGCGAACATCGGATTGCCTTCTCATTTCAATATGATTGCCGCCTCCCTTTCTGCTAGTAAGTTCTGAGCGATGCTTCCCAGCCTGAAAGCCACTGCTGCCTCCGACCGCAAGTTGTTGTCCCCCTCGGCAAAGGGTGCCGGTTGTCGACGCCAACCACGCGGCCAGTGACGAGTTGCCATAGTTGACAGGAGAAACCTGAAACCGGGGGGCCACGAAAGCTTCTGTTGCTAGCCGCCAAACTTGTGTTGACTAGCGACGACTCCTTGGGCGTGCCGTGGCCCGTCAGAGGAGAAAGGGTCACTGTTGGTTGGTAACACAGCTCTGGGTCCGACAACATCAGACAAGCTGAAGCCTGGACGGGAGGGAGGCGGACGATGGGCGGAGCGGAAGTGATTGAGCCACAAAGAGCGGGCACTTGCGCCACGATTCTCAGCATTCGTGCCAGGGCATGCCAGTGTGTGTATCTGCAGATTCGTGGTCCTTGTGCTGAATTATGCATCTAAAAAATCATCAATGGGCAGAAAAATTGGACAGTCTCTTTCGCCGATTCGACTGGGGGACAAGAGTTGAAGACAGCCGTTGTCGCCAAAAGGGATAAGTGGCAGGGGTGTCTTGCAGCAGGGCCACGCGTCGCTGTGGGGCCACCGGCGCCAAGTGCCAATTGGAGCGCACTGAGGTTGATTGACCAGCCGAGAGTCGAGACTGAGAGGGCGTGAGGGCGTGAGCTTTGAAGTGAGAGGCGGCAGCGGAACGGTGAAAATGGAATGGTGAGGTTGCTGGTGCCGGGACGTTTGGTTTCTGGAAGGGAAAAGGGTTCGTTTTTGGGCCCTGAATATTTCAGCTTTCAAGCCATTCCATTAGACTCTGGGCACAATCTGGTTGGATGTCTGGTTTGATCGACCCGTGGGTTCGGATGGACGACTCGAGTCGTTCATCGTGTCTTTCTGTGTCAGTCGTGTCAATATCAGACGTTACCTTATGTACGCTGA